CGAGGAAGTGGGAAAAGTCAACAGACACTCGGTCAGGGAGCATGAGTAATTGGTCAATGGACCGCGAAATTAACTGCGTTAAATGGGAGGAGGAGGGTATACTATAGCCGCATATGCAGAGTTCCTATATTACCACAACTTAATCTGATTTCCGTCAACTTACATCTCCGAAGCGTCCCCTTCGCAAATGTCCTGTGCAGCTCCATTGCAGTCCTCCGAAGGGGCTGCAGCTGACGGCGACTCCGCTTCGGGCAGGAGATACCATTTCGTGTGGGAGCCACGGCTGGCGTAAACATCCCCGCCGGCGGTGTCCCTTAATTGCGCCGTAGCTGCGGCCGGCAGCTCTTCGGTCACGCCATCGAACTCCGTAGCCGAAGCACGCCCACTATCGGGTCCCGCGACGCCACAGGGTGTCGCCGTATCCCCAGCAACGGCTTCGTCTCCGTCTCCTCGCCCACCATCTTCGGCGCCGAATTCCTGCTGCAGTGCAGCCTGCGCGGTACTTGGCAAACTCATTGTCGTTGTAGACATTTTCACCGCTTTGCGTAATAAACTGTGCCGCGGGTCGGCGTTATTGATTTTCGCTTATGGTTCCTTCTTATTTAGATGCGCTATTTGCGCGGTTGCCCAAGCGTTCACACATTTTGGCTTCTGCCCAAGCGTTCGCGAGAATGCCAGCAACACCTACACACAGATACACACACACGGACGGACGCCCACTGGCCAAGCAACCGGCACCTTTGGGGACTTTTGCTTTGTTCTTCTCTTTGCAATAGCACGAATCACGACGGCAGAGCCAAAAATTGACGACACTGGACACTTTGGCGGTATTATCGCGGTTTCATGGCTCAGGATTTGTGTAATCGCTGGATGTACATGCAAAAATGATGCCAAACAGCTGAGCCAACACACAATTTCATTCACGGGGGTGGAACGGCGCGCGCACCTTTGCTATAAATGCATTTTCCAACTTTCCGAGCGGTGCGTCTGCTTCGGTCGAGTGTTTTTCTTGTTTTTTGGAGATACACACAACACACATGGTATGAAAAGTATACTTATTGCACCGTGGTGAGTGTGAACAGCTGTTGTGTTGAAATATATGAAGCAACAGCAATAGTCGGTGGCACCCGTAAGAGACTAGTGCAACAGAAGAGTGCAGCTATATGGGTCGCATTATATGAAAAGAGAAACTCACCACCGCGCGCTTTTTTTAAATTGAGATTAGTGCTAGTTGGAAGCGGTCTAATTAGAAACATTTGTCTTCAAGTCCTGTAAATATATGTAGATGTTATCGTAAAGCACAAGGACAAATGTTTCATACTTCGGCCACCAAATTTAAAAAACACCACAATTGGTCTATTATTATTTGTTTTCCTAGATTTATAAACGCATCTTCAACCAGGTATTTAAACACAGCCCAAAGGTATGCAACAGTTTTCGACATTATGCCAAATTTGTTTCAGTTACAAGTCTCAATATGAAGTTATGTATACATTTGCAGGGTAATATTATTTTAGTCAAAAGCGTAAAACACAGTGATGCAGTCATTTGCGACCTCATAAAACATATATATTCTTGATCAGCATCAACAGGAGAATCTTTCTAGCCATCTTCGGGGCAAACTAATTTTTTTCGATTTTTGCTAAATTTTATAAGGGGTTACATCGTTAAATTTGTCAAAAATTGACAAAAATTGTATTTTTTAAGATTGTAAATGAAGTATGCAGATTTATTAACCTGGCAAAAACTAACACAGCTCCGCTGCCCGAATTTAAATTAATGCTTTTTTGGCTGAGTTACGAGTTTTTTAAGATTTGATTTTTAGGAAAAATTTTCATATAAAAATATTGGTAAATATCGACTAAAAAATGGTATTTCAATTTTAGTCAGAAGCGTAAAACGCACTGAAGCAGTCGTTTCCGACCCCATAAATCATATATATTCTTGATCAGCATCAACAGGAGAATCTTTCTAGCCATCTTCGGGGCAAACAAATTTTTTTCGATTTTTGCTAAATTTTATAAGGGGTTACATCGTTAAAATTGCCAAAAACTGACAAAAAATTGTATTTTTTAAGATTGTAAATGAAGTATGCAGATTTATTAACCTGGCAAAAACTAACACAGCTCCGCTGCCCGAATTTAAATTAATGCTTTTTTGGCTGAGTTACGAGTTTTTTAAGATTTGATTTTTAGGAAAATTTTTCATATAAAAATATTGGTAAATATCGACTAAAAAATGGTATTTCAATTTTAGTCAGAAGCGTAAAACGCACTGAAGCAGTCGTTTCCGACCCCATAAATCATATATATTCTTGATCAGCATCAACAGGAGAATCTTTCTAGCCATCTTCGGGGCAAACTAATTTTTTTCGATTTTTGCTAAATTTTATAATTTTATTCGTTAAAATTGCCAAAAACTGACAAAAAATTGTATTTTTTAAGATTGTAAATGAAGTATGCAGATTTATTAACCTGGCAAAAACTAACACAGCTCCGCTGCCCGAATTTAAATTAATGCTTTTTTGGCTGAGTTACGAGTTTTTTAAGATTTGATTTTTAGGAAAAATTTTCATATAAAAATATTGGTAAATATCGACTAAAAAATGGTATTTCAATTTTAGTCAGAAGCGTAAAACGCACTGAAGCAGTCGTTTCCGACCCCATAAATCATATATATTCTTGATCAGCATCAACAGGAGAATCTTTCTAGCCATCTTCGGGGCAAACAAATTTTTTTCGATTTTTGCTAAATTTTATAAGGGGTTACATCGTTAAAATTGCCAAAAACTGACAAAAAATTGTATTTTTTAAGATTGTAAATGAAGTATGCAGATTTATTAACCTGGCAAAAACTAACACAGCTCCGCTGCCCGAATTTAAATTAATGCTTTTTTGGCTGAGTTACGAGTTTTTTAAGATTTGATTTTTAGGAAAAATTTTCATATAAAAATATTGGTAAATATCGACTAAAAATGGTATTTCAATTTTAGTCAGAAGCGTAAAACGCACTGAAGCAGTCGTTTCCGACCCCATAAATCATATATATTCTTGATCAGCATCAACAGGAGAATCTTTCTAGCCATCTTCGGGGCAAACAAATTTTTTTCGATTTTTGCTAAATTTTATAAGGAGTTACATCGTTAAAATTGCCAAAAACTGACAAAAAATTGTATTTTTAAGATTGTAAATGAAGTATGCAGATTTATTAACCTGGCAAAAACTAACACAGCTCCGCTGCCCGAATTTAAATTAATGCTTTTTTGGCTGAGTTACGAGTTTTTTAAGATTTGATTTTTAGGAAAAATTTTCATATAAAAATATTGGTAAATATCGACTAAAAAATGGTATTTCAATTTTAGTCAGAAGCGTAAAACGCACTGAAGCAGTCGTTTCCGACCCCATAAATCATATATATTCTTGATCAGCATCAACAGGAGAATCTTTCTAGCCATCTTCGGGGCAAACTAATTTTTTTCGATTTTTGCTAAATTTTATAATTTTATTCGTTAAAATTGCCAAAAACTGACAAAAAATTGTATTTTTTAAGATTGTAAATGAAGTATGCAGATTTATTAACCTGGCAAAAACTAACACAGGACTGCTGTCCGAATTTAAATTAATGCCTTTTTGGCTGAGTTACGAGTTTTTTAAGATTTGATTTTTAGGAAAAATTTTCATATAAAAATATTGGTAAATATCGACTAAAAAATGGTATTTCAATTTTAGTCAGAAGCGTAAAACACACTGAAGCAGTCGTTTCCGACCCCATAAATCATATATATTCTTGATCAGCATCAACAGGAGAATCTTTCTAGCCATCTTCGGGGCAAACTAATTTTTTTCGATTTTTGCTAAATTTTATAAGGGGTTACATCGTTAAAATTGCCAAAAATTGACAAAAAATTGTATTTTTTAAGATTGTAAATGAAGTATGCAGATTTATTAACCTGGAAAAAACTAACACAGGACTGCTGTCCGAATTTAAATTAATGCCTTTTTGGCTGAGTTACAAGTTTTTTAAGATTTGATTTTTAGGAAAAATGTTCATATAAAAATATTGGTAAATATCGACTAAAAAATGGTATTTCAATTTTATTCAGAAGCGTAAAACGCAGTGTGTAACTTGCAAGGTTATACAAACTTCAGGTTCTGGAACTTTGGTTTCGTTCTTTTTTTTGTTAAAGACGCTTATTTTCATTTTCTTTCCGTCATTATTCCCTAACACCTATCCTTAAGTTCCCCATATTACTAAAATATATATCAACCTGTGGCAAGTGCGCCACCAGGGAGAGGGACTAGTCTTAAAGATGCTTTTCAAAGAGACTAATTTACAGACGTTCCGTGACAAAAGCAATCTCTGTCAATACTGCTCGCCGGTTTTACTTATGTAGCTATTGCTTCTGGAGGATGCCTGCCGGCGGCACGAAAGCACGCTCTCGCACACACACGCTCGCTCCGCGCCCACAGGCAGGCAGCTTCATTGCTTATTTATGGAGCCAGGCAGGGGGCACAAGGATGCGTGGACGCAGGCACGAGAAGGAGGGAAGAGGACGAGAGTAAAACGATGTTCAAATCTGTGTCTATAGACGAGTCGAGCAGTGGGTCGCTGAACCCGGCGGCAGGACACGGAAGGAGGAGGAATCGGGGCTAGTTCCACCGGCTGTTTATTTGTTTGACAATAAAGAGGAGGCGCAGACTTTACTGGGTCCCTTTGACTGGGCCAGTGCATGTGCCTGTGCTTGCCCTCTGCTGCCAGGAAGTGATGGCGGTCGATATAAACACAATTGCCAGCATTATATACCTACCAAAGCCTGACACCTCGCTGGCTGGCATTGGGTCACCTGCGGAGGGCTTGGAATATAATTGAACATCGATCTATTAAAGGCTAATGAACAGTGACAGTAACAGCATTCTTTTGCTTTCGAATTCAGCGGGCTCCCAGCGCTAATTGAAATATCCAAAAATAAACAAAACACAAAGCGAATAAAAAAGTCTCACCCGTCAGTCCTATATCTCCGTGGCAGCGGTGGCTCTAGCGACAGACTAGGCAGGGAGCGACTACGTCCCCTTCTGATGCCCTTGCTCCTCCTGCGGCACTTGTTTCGTTCGCTTCCTTCGGCTTGGGATGGCTGGTCCTGGCCATCGCTCTGGCTGCTCCTGGAAAGGGAAAATATCATATTGATGACTATTATCCATTATTGACAGTATCCAATCTCATTCCGCTGTCGCCACTCATTTTCATTGTTATCTGTCATGTTTAATGGCACTTGGAAAGCCCCAGCTGCGAGCCTGCCCATGCCCTGCCGGAGCTTGTCAATCGCTAATGGCTTGGCCAGTTGAAGCCATTAGCAGGAGGAGCAGGGATCCTGGGAGCAATCTGTCTCTTCGGAAGTTAAAAAGCAAAACTCACCTGAGCGCAATATCCTTCTCTGCCACAACCTTTTGGGACTTGTCCTTCGTCTCTGTCTCCGCCTGCTGTGAAGGATGACGAGTACTGGCCGTGCCGCTGCACAATAAGGTCCAGGACGGATTGAAAACTCTCCCCTCGACGACTCGTTGGACACACTCTTTTGGGCTTTTGTTAACGGCCACTGAAATGACGTGGGGCTGCGTAAGAGGCTGCAGCTCGATAACAGATACGTCCGCCTGCGACTGGTCTCTCCTGACCGGAACAGGTGCACTTCCTTCCTGGCAAGCTGCGCATCGGGGCCAATAGTCGCAGGTATCTAAGGTCTTGGAGCAGCTCTTGGTGGTGGCCGTTGGGGGGAACTCTGTCGTGTTACTAAAAAACCACACGAGATGCGTAAGCTACACACAGCACAATCTTTTGTGTTACAGGCTTTAGTAATCTCCTTTAACCAGGGGGTTTAATGTAGGGAGTGTCCTGCGACACAGGACTTTTGTGGTGGGACCGTTTGTTCTGGATATCCTATATACCATTTCAGCTATTCCTTCTACTGTTGATTTATGTTAGTACGTGCTTTTTGCACGGACCAGCGGGGCCCGGCGCTCAAAATAAATACTAGGAGAAAGGAGTAAGGCCGCCTCCACCGCAGAGTTAATAAATTCGGTTAGTTCATAGATTAGTTGGTATGCATAAGCAGTCTTAACGCACGGGTGCTGGCTCTGGTCGGGTTAGTAGTACCTTAGGCGCTGCTAAACTTGGTTCGAGGAGGAGCGGGCATGGGCCCTCGTGCATATTAGTTCTAGGAATAGGTTAATACAAAGTTAGCAGGGATTCTGATTCTCGTCGAGAAACACACTCCCGTGTGAGTGCTGACAGCTGTGGGGGTGTCGGAGCTAGTACCTGCTGCTGCGCGGCTGGGTTGCTGCCTGTCTGTAAATGTAGTCCCCACCCACTCCCACTGCCATCTCCAGGGTCAGGTCGTCCCTCGATCCCGGACTCTGGCGGAGGGAGCGCTGTGGCTTTAGCACCGTAGTCGGGTGTTCATAGATGCGCGTTTCGTTGCTCATAAAGTTGAGCTCACTGTTGCCGCCAGAGTTGATGGTCTCCCGATTGCGGAGCATCATGGGCAGCTCATAGTCGCTGCTGTCCCCCCGTCTGAAGTTCATGATCGGGGACTTGCGTAGCATGTCGTACGTCAGCTCGTGGTCGCACAGCCGCGTCCCGTAGCTCTGGGGGCTGCCGGACTGCCGCGGTGGCTGGTGAAGATTGTTAGACGAGGATCCTGAGGACTGGGGCGAACGAGAAGCGCTGTGCTCCACGACCGATGCGTTGACGGGAGAGTTGGACTTCCGCAGGCGGGAGGTGGTTGCGTGACCGGTGTCAGCAGCAGGCTGAAGGAATCGTAGCCCACTTACGCTGGTGCTTCCGCTGCATCCGTTGTTGTTGTTGAGCACTGCTTCGCGATAATCGTCGTCGAAGGAACGGGACTCCCTTTCCACGCGCAAGTTCTGGTTGCTCCCGCTGTCCCCCCACTGCCACTCGTGTGGGCGGAGCGCGCTGATCCCTTAGGGCCACCACTGCGATTGTAGTTGTTGTAATCGAAGTCGAAGGAGCGTGCCTTGTCCGCCTCGCTCTGGCGCACCCTGACAGAAGTACTGCATGAATTCGGGGGATTGGCATGCGTCTTGGACCCAGCTGGAGAGGCTCGAATGGTGGGCGGAAAGACGCCTCCACCAACTGGCAACCGGGACTGCTGATACGTCGCGGCTGATGCCTGCTGCTGTTGTTGCTGCTGGACGGACACCGCACCCACATTAACGATCGACTTATGGGTTCGATTCGGAGAGCGCTCGCTTAGCTGCAAAGATCTGCAAGGAAATGGTTATGGGCTAAATGTCTTCAAGGGCATTAACAGCCGTAAAGACGGTAGTGTAAACCTACCTGGAGCGGCGTATTCGATGCTCCTGTTCGGCCTGCTTGGCGGCACTGTGGGCTATTGCCCGCCGGTGACTGCTCGAGCTACTTGAAGGACCGGCGGCTGAGGCTGTGACAGTTGAGCTGGTGCTGGCGTTCAGAGGCTCATGGGAATCCCCACCGCTGTAGCTAGAACTCGAGGAGCTGCGTGATATGATGGGAGGCGTCCTATCCTTGCGGGTCTCTAACGTATTGCTTCTGGAGCCGGAGTTCTGGCGAGAGCCAGCACTCAACGAGAGCTGCGACCCCTTCTTGCGTCGCTCCTCTGGCGTCAGGGATCTGGATTCAGGGGTCAGAGATCGTTGCTTCCGCAAGCTGGTGGATGAACTGTGCGACTCGTTCCGATCGGGTGTCAGGGAACGCTGGCGCTGCATCTTGAACGGTGAGATGCTGACAGTACTGACACCAGCCTTGGGAAACTTGTGAGTGCCGGCAGACAGAAACTCGCTCAAGCCGCCATCCTCGTTGTCCAGCTCATCATTGGAGAGATCTGTCAAATAGATTGTGATTTAAATGCGAGTCCGGTTGCCCACTGTTGTGACCACAAACTACTAAATGAGAAGTGGCAGTCACAAATCTAACAAGAAATTGACTCTCATTTTTTCACATTTAACAGCTCTGGCCTGCCTTCTGATGGAGCATTGCAATTCGCCTAATCATGGGACATTAGTCAGCCCCGCAAAAAAGTGGATATATGTATAGGCTGCGCAGAGGCAGAAGGTCAAATCTCTGTCAATGACTGGGCAACGACTTACCTGATCTCGCTCCACTGTCACAAGAGTTGAGGCGCTGGCTCTTGGACGTATCAAAGCTGCGAAAGCGCGACACTCCCACGTTGGGGGCGGAAGGATGCAGCGCCAGAGGTCCTGCGCTGCCCACTCTACTGAATTGGGACTTTCGTGAACGTCCGACGGCATGGGTCTTGGCACGTTCAGCGGTCCGTTCGTGGCGGGAGCGGGGCGAATATTTCGCCTGACTGCCAGCTGCGGCAACGCTGTAGACAGGCGGCGCCTCTTTGACAGCGGCATTTAAATAGGCAGTCGTCTGCGCCGTGTGGGGATTCAGATACTTGGGTGAGTTATCCCGACTGCGTAAGGAGCCACTGCTTCCGCCGCCGCTCTCCCTCTTAGTTAGGTAGTTGGGTGAGTTGCCGGTCAGGGTGCTGAAGTTGGGCGACCGTTCCCGCTGCCCTGCCAGCACGGCCAGGTTGAGGGACGCTCCGACAGGTTGCCGTCGAAGCTGCGAGAGAAGGTCTCTACATAGTTGTCGGGCGGCTGGGGTCGACGCGTGTCGTACTCAAAGCTGCGGGAGAAGACCATGCCCTTGACGGACACGTTGGCCGGGTGTTGACTGACCAACTGGGTTTGAGACTGGAGCGGCACGGGCAAAGGTAGCGGGCCTTGGGACCGCATTGGCTTCTGACGCATACTGCGACTGTTGTCCTGGAAAGCGGGGGGCGGCGACAAAATCGGTGTGATGGGCGAGTCCAGGTCATTGGGGCTTTTTACTGGGAGAAAGCCTGGTCTCTCATTGAGAATGTTGGCCAGTTGAGGGTCGATAACCCGGTAGCCTGGTCGCAGGGCAGCCTCCCGCGATGAGTAGCCACCCAATCGCGCCTCGTTCCTCTGTATTAGCTCTTCCACCTTAGAGCCGACAAACTTGGGCTCGGATATGCCCATACCGGATGGTTGCTGCTGGTGCTGCTGAATGAACGATTGGCGGGCCAGGTCTGAGCGCCGTCCATGGTCCATAGGAACAGGGCGAATTGTAGAGCGGCCGCTGCCATTCTGCTGGCCGTAGTTCAGCCGGCGATAGCCCTCGCAGTTGTCATCCTTGCTGGTGCCACGCTTCGTGTTGACCTGCACCCAGCCGGACTTGTTGAGGAATATCTCCTCCTTGTTTGTGGCCGGCGACATGGAGTTTCGACCATGGAAATGTTCCCCGAACAGATATGTGGGGACTCCGTTGGAACCTGCCGTTAGATGGGAGGCCGCAGAGCTCCCATTGGCACTACCGCCACCCATGTGGTGATAGTGCATCCTGCGCGCCTCCAGCTTCTCGTTGAAGCTGCGGTTCGACGCCTCGAGACTTTCGCGCCTCTTTGCAACGTATTGCTGGAAAGCGGAGAGGTGCGGTGGCGCCTGTGGTGCTGCTGCCTGCTGCTGCTGCTGACGTTGTTGCTTTTGGGCCGATGTGTTCTTTTTCGGCGCGTTTATCTCTGATGCGTGCTTTTGGGACTCTTGCTGCTGGACTGCTGCTCCTGGCGACTCAGTGACACCTTCGACGGCTTCATGACGCTGCTGCTGGCGCTGCTGAAGATGCTTCGAGGGACTGGTGCGCGAGCGGGTACGGCGGCGCTTCGGGAGAGCAGGCAGCGGGAGAGTGCTAACATCTAGTTTCTCGAGTGTCGAGGACGAGAGTTCGTCGTTCTGGGACTCCCGGGTAATGGAGTCCCGTGTCAGGTGACTGTCGTCCGATTGTGCCTCGCTAGAGTCGAGGCAGGCGTAGTCTTGACGTGTCAGTGTTCTGAGCTGCACTTGATTCCCCGAGGCTGCTGCACATACGGGGGCATCGGTGTTGGGTGTCGGTTCACTGGAAGAGATGAGCAATTTTCTGTAAAGCTTTTCAAGCTATACCAAAAATCCCTATAAGGCTTTGAGGCACGACACAACGTGGACCGGAAATGAAAGTTGGCTTCATAAAGGAACAGGAAATCTTAGATTTTTTAAGCATCAGAACAGATGTTAAGTTAACAGCTGATAACTAAGAATTCAATTGTATAGAAAATAGATTTTAAAGCTAATGTAACTCTAATCTAAGCACTGCCCGCTCTAGTTTCGAGACGACTAGTAGGAATGGGTTCTCGAAGTGACTTGGCTATCTGATTGAGCCCTACTACTACTCGAAAAAGGCCTGCTCTGCTGGCGGCCCTAATGGGTAGGATAATCGACACAGAGTGCCGTGCTGGTGCTCGAACAAGGGTTCAATGTCCGGGAACATGGTTCAGCACTCGCCTGAACTCGTTGACATCTGCACAAATGCAGCCGCTAACGCCGGCAGTGCAGTCTACGCCGCTTTGCCAAATGTAAGTGCTTTGCCTTGTTGCTGCCATTGCTGCTAACTGACAACGGCAGGATGGTGGAGATGTGGCCAAATAGTGGCAGTGTGCTGCTAATACAATATTCATCCGCCAAAACCCACAGTTTGTGGACCCTCTGACTTCTCTGGTTACTGACTACTCGTGCTTAACGCTGGCCAAGATCGACCCAAAGGCTGCCAAAAGCCATCTAAACTTGACCCTGAAACGCACAGTGGCTAAGTGGCAAGAAAATAGTTTTCCATGTGGCGCAGTGCGTGAGCGTGTGTGTGGGGGAAAAAATGTTGCTGAACGAGTCGGAGAACGAGATACAAATGCACAAATACACATATTGTTACGAGCACGCAGCCCATGCTCGGATTGCAGGGTACGAGGTGGGTGTCATCAGGGACGATAAGCGCACAGCTTGACTGTAAATTAGGGTAACTAGTCTGGCCAATACATGGGCGAAAAAGTGTCAGTGACAGCTTTTCTAAAAGGGACAATCACCGTCTGCTGCTGCAGCATCTCTATCCACTTTACATGTCGGCTAATACTTGCGGATACAGGCCGCTCTAGATGGGCACTTCCGGGAGTGAGATCCAACATGAAGCTATTCTCTCCCTCCTGTCTCATGACAACGCATGTATGTATCTTTGATGTTGAGTTCGAATTTTTAAGTGACGCCACATAGGCCGGAATATAATAATGTGAAGATGCCACAACTGAGAAGGCTCAGAACGTATATCCAAAGAAAGCTCTTCAGCTTCGGTCGCCCCACGCTGTCGCTTTTGGCATACGAATATAATCACCTAAAAACTTGAAACTTGTCATTCCAAAATGGTCAACTGCCAACAACAAACAGTATATATTTCGGTTCGTTGCCTCGGCCTCTTGAATGCTGTGGCTTGTGTGGGCGTCACAACTTTAAGTCCAATTCGGGAAGCGATGGCATTTATTCAATATGGACCACGCTTAATCTACAAAGAGTTGATCGGCCATTGAGTTCTTGTGTCGCATTTCAGTGCTTAATCTCAGGTATCGATCCACAATGAAAATGGTTCCAGTTTAACATGGTCTTTTCCCTTTTCACTTCCTCATTTGTTTATTACACAATAAATTTCCAACGTGTTTGGTTATGTTCAGAAATCTTGGAGTGCGTGGGAATTGTCAAGATTCTCAACAGCCTACGAAAATATTTCAATTCGTCACAAGTTGGTCTGTCTTGGCTCAATAAATACGTCGGTATACTCGTTGTAAGACAGTCTAATGTATTTATAATGTTTTTAAACAAAAATCGGAAAGGAAGGCTGAAAACTTTCCGGCAACATGAATGTAAGTGTGTTCAAGTAAAAGGACATCACTGACACTGGAATAAATAGGAAGTGTGAGCCACTCTCTCGCAATAAAGCGCTAATTACACACCGCGTACCCAGGCACACACATGCTCGCGGGGCGAGGTTTTATTTCTGCAAGCTCTCGGATAATTTCTGCGTGTTTGCACTCGTAATTTTGCCATTAAATATTCATAGAGGTATGCCTGGTACTCTCTTTAATTCAAATTAGTTTAATGGCCATGCTTTCATTACCGAGTGATCAAAAGTTGATCAGCCTCTTAATTACAATTTAATGTAATTATAAATATTAAGAAAACCATGCATTGAGTTGGTCTTTTCACTCAACTTAGAATGTACGGCCTGCTGTATCCTGCCTTAGGTCACCGAGTTTATGTGGGTGCTACTTATGTATATTGAAGATGTCCAATGTCGATAATTCTAATTTACTATACCTCCAAGTAAAAAAACAACAAAAATTAAGAGTGTTCCTCCATCACAACAAAAATTATTTACAAAAATGATTGCTACTGATTCTGCCATATATCGTTGTTCAGCTCTAGTGGAATGTGCCTAGTCTCGACAGTGAAAGTTAGGAAAATGAACAAGGAATTTTCCTCTCACTCCGATTTGAATTATCCGTACGCAGCCGCAGATGAAAACTATTTGCCTTCTAAAGCTTCAGCTGGCTCTTGCAAACTGATGTTTCGATCTTTGTTAAAGCACGTACGTAGGTAACATCCAAGAGGACGAAAGTTTCCATTAAAAAATGTTTGCTCATTTTTTGTTTTTGGCCAAAACTTGCTGTCTATTGAGCGGCAGTGATTGCCGGTTTGGATATCGTAAATAAAATATAAATGCACAGAAACTCCACAGCACATTGCGCTCGCATCTGAGGCATGCATGGCTCATAAAACTGGTTTTCAATCACTTTAGGCCGCACTTGTCTTCGCCGGGAGCAGAGCAGAGCGCAGGACGATGCTGAGGACGGGTACTAGCAAATCGATTGCATTATCTCGCATACCTGTTAGTCAACTTGCACTTTCGACTGGGGCCAGAGTCAGAGTCAGAGTCAGCCAGCTAGCCATTTTACTAGCCAAGCCAGCAGAAGCTGAGCCGCTTCTTCGGGCAGCGCGATGTGGTAACGTTGGGTAAACTGCAGCGGCATTGACTAAAAGCCAATGACCAAATGAAGTTGTGGCCATAGGAAACAAGTTTCACATTTTCCATACCATATTTGCAAGCGCACAGCACAAGCACCGTCCGCACATCGTGTCCGTAATGATCAGGCCTCATAATTATCGACTGGCAGCTAGGCTGCCTGGCTGCATGCAATTTGCACTGCTTCAATTGCAAAATATCAGTTAACTTTTATTGTTTGTCGGCCCAAAGGTTTTGAAGGTCGTCCCCAATTTCGCAAAATACTTCTCCGAAATTGAAACGAACGCACTCGAACTCGGGGAATTGTTTTCTGATTTGATTTGTCGTTGGCCCTGGTTTCGATTTCGATTTCTCACTTGTCTGAGCTCTTGCAGAGCACCGCGAGTTGAACTTGTTTTCAATTAGCCGTGCTTGAAATACACGCGTCTAATTGAAAAGCTATAGCTAAGCTATCTACACCCTACTGGGGAGCACCCAAGCTGACTCGAAAAAAGCATTTCTCAGGCGGAACTCTGTGTGTACTTAACAAATGTTTTGTAACGCACACATCGAGGGGCCGTTGAACAAGGATGACATGAAATTATTATTTTCTCCTTGTTTTCCAGTTACAAACAATTCAGCCGGAGTGCGGTTGTGCGTTGTGTGTTGTGGGGAGATGAATGCGTGTTACACACATAAGTGTATAGGTAAATGATTGAATACCAAACAATGCGGGGGAAACAAAGGACAAAATTGATTTATGTAGGCCGGTCTCGTATTGAGGGCTCTGGCTCGTTGGCGGGGGCCAGGAACCGGGGACTGCTCTTTGCGAAAATTATTGATTGCCGAATTTTTATCGAAGTAGGGACATGGGGAGCCAGCAACCTATTATTACAATCTAATAAATGTAATGCAAGCTCGTGTGTCACAGGATACGACTGTTGTTGTGCGCCCAATATTAATGATTCAATTAAACTGACCCTGGGCAATCGTTCTTTTATCAAAATGTATCAAAATGCTCTTCAATTGATTGGCTTCTCCTTGCAGCATCTCCAAGGACAATGCTCAAGGAGACGCTGTCATGCAAGATGTTTACTCTGCCTTAATATACATCGCGTCTGCCATAAAGAGGTTATTCCCCTTGTTTACCCTTGTCAAAAACAACTCATTGCCTTTTGGTAATCAAATTGTTTAAGTTCCACCAGCTGGTGACAGTTCACATCCTAAGGCCAAACTTCCCCGAATCGCACTCGTCGATTAATAAGAAGACATCAAGGGCTGCGGGACCCAAGACATCCCTAAGGAAAAAGGAACTTAATGAGTCCCTACTCCTTTGATAGCCTGTATTTTGCCTGTTGCCTAATTATAGCACCTATCATGAACTCGAAGTACTGCACTTTTTCTCAGTTCTCGGTTAGTATATAAAATAATTTGTAGGAAATTTATGAATCTGATCTGCTCACTAATATATGGAGTCCAGAGGTGCGAATCCTCGCCGTTTTCGAATGGGGGAGAAAGCAGCTGGTGTACTTTCCCGTCCCTCCTCCGCTCCACGGGAGTCGCATTAAAGTTTGAAGTTCCGATTCCAATTCCGAGGAGAGGCTAACACAAGGTAGCACCAAATGTGGCGCAAAGCAGCACTCTCAGGAGCTGCTGCGCACTCAATTTCACTCTCGTGGAATGCAAATAAATTCACTAGCCTAATTAACGCATTCTAAAGCTCAAAAGTTGAGTTAACGTACAGCCTTTGAATACGTTTAGGCTTGGGACTTCACTGTTAATGGCATCATATTTGACCCGGGACACTTTGGTTTCGCGGAGCACACAAGAAAAGTGAAGCGAATATGTATTTTTTCAGGCCATCCGACTGGCCATCGCATTTGCACATGAAGAAGATAAGGAACAACAAGTGTTCCTATGCCACTACTGTTGACACTCGAATTTGCACCTCCGTTTCCCGTTTCCGCTTCCGTGCGGAATAAAGTTCAAGTTCTTGGCTATTTAGCTACACATTATAGGTTGACTGGGAGCAAATACCTGTGCGATACCGCTGGCGCTGCGCTGTCGCTGTCCGTGTTGCCAACCGTCTTGCAACTGAATCTGAGCTCGGATGCGCTGTTGCTGGCGATGTTGGTGAGGCTCGTGTTGCCAGCGTTGGTGTCGTTCGCTGTGGGGAGCCCGAATCCGAGTGTTGCTGGTTGCCCCTCCGAACATGTCGGAGCAACATGTTGGATTGGGGCCTTTTTGTCGAGTTTTGTTTTGCTTATTTTTTCGTATTCCTCCTTCATAATCGGACCCGTGGGTTCGGGCGGAGTGACAGACGAAGATGGAGACGGGGGCCGGGACCGGGACAGGGAGTTCAGACCCAGTTGGGTCTCTGGCGCTGGGAGCAGTGCCGGCGGGGGCGGCCTTTCCTCTTCAGCTGGGCTTCGATGCTTCTTTGTGAACTCAGCTTCGTCGCTGGCAATATTGATGGTATTCCCTTCCGGTCTGCCCGCAATGGCTGACGCCTGCTCCCGTCTTTCCAGCGCAGGCTCAGCAGGAGGTGGGGACTCAACATCCTCGACAGAGTGCGCCATTTCGCTGTCAGTGGCGGCCTTGCCTTGATTCTCGTTAGCAATAGTCTCCGCCTGCGCCTGTGTTGTTGTCGCCATGTCGGATGGGCCCTATAAAAGTATTATTTAATTAAAATCTTTTTTGTCTTCATTTTCACCTGATGTACATATGTACATATACAGATCAATGGAATCAACTTAATAATAATGTTTATTGGTTTATATTACCTTTTGTGTATTAGTATTAATAATCAAATCAATATTGATAAAATTATTCATTCATAGTTGGATTAAAATAGTCGCGAATGTAGGAGAAAGTAAACTTTGATACAAGAATATATAATGATGAATAACAAACAAGTTAAAATGAAAATTAGCGATAATTAGTTCTAATATGGATTCAAAAGATCTTAAACTCATTTTCAAATACGAATGCATCCTGAGTTTCTAATATTTCTTGCAATTACTCATTATGCGACAAAGCTTCTCTCTTATCTTGACAAAAATATCCATATTGTACACAAGGCGATCGACTTCAGTACGGTAGGGAGCAAGAGAGGCAGTGTCCTCGAAAGATTGCTTAGCACGACGCAAACGACGGTGAATCTCAGCTAGATCGTGCATCTGGAAAATGGATAACTCCTGATCCGTGGATACCATGACTGACAAAAGAGCGGCCATTTCGACGCAAATCCTATAATTATACCCAATGCTCGTTTGGGGTTCTACAGCCTGGTTGTCCAAAAGCACAGTGTGGGATCGCTCTACGGACGCGCTCTGCTGGGGTCACTGAGAGCTGTAACCACTTATTAATGTCAGACAACAACTATATTTACCCCGGAGATGTCACTGGTCAGACGAAAATCTCGGTTGGGCTGCAATACGAAGCGCGCGGTTAGCCCGCTGCCCTTTGCAGTGTACTGATAACCTTCGGCGACGCGTCGGAACAAGGGATGCAGATCCAAGAGCCTACAGCGCTTCCGTATCCTCTCCGGCAACTGGTAGGTGTCTATGTGAGGTAGCACCTCCGTCAGGAACATGTGGCACACTTCGTGCGCAGTTAGATCTTTCCCAACAGAATCTTCCGACGACCACTCGAGCCAGGCGGAAGCGTCTTGTATGTAAAACATTCGGGAGGAGGCCGTTGCATAGAAGATCAACTCCATATAAACTGGTTGTGGAGCACCAACCTCTGGGGAAAATACGGCTTCATTTGCAGTTTCGTCCATTTTGCAAAAGGACGCGATTTTTTTCAACGATTAATTCAAGATGTGCTTTCAGAGCTGCATGTGGCCTTTTTTATCGATATATTTTTAACGCGATATTTGTATTAGCTCGTGATTCGTGACACATTGCGTGATTTACTTATAGTTCTCCATTGGCACATATCTTGGTTGATTCTCCTTTCGATTGAAATAAGTACATATGCGATAATATGTATATTTTGCATCATAAGTCACATCGCAAGCCAATTAAATATACAATAAGATTGTACCTTATACAAGCTTGCAGAAAGAAAGGATTATCGATACATCGACGATCTGGCACCTCTACTGAAAGCTGAGAAACGATCAGCTATTGGTTCATCGCTGATTGGCCACCTCTATTGAAAAAGACGAACAACTGAACAGCGAATTGGAATTCATAAAAAGTGCCGTGGCTATTAAATTGTCGAATAGGAATTCATAGAAAGTGCTGGGTTGATGTCCTGTATTGTCAGCCTTTAGAAGATCACGAATTCAATACATCTGCTCTAAGCGCGGATCATTACAGTCTAAAGCCCTACAAAGGAACAGGCACCGACTCCATTTTTTGTATACATACATACATACATACACAATACATTGGTAAGTACAACCCTGTTCATTTTTTCTTGCGGGATTAACATCACAAACCAAAATTGCTAAACGAATTGAGAAGGAGACAATAGTTTACATACCTTTATCAGGCGGTCACTGGCCTCCATAGGCAAGGTGCAACCCCCAGAGTCCTCGCTGCGGGCGTCGTAGAACACGTCGTTGTCGTCCATCTCTGTTGCGCTCATGCTGCACTCCACAGTGGACGCTGTGATCTTGTCAGCTGTACTTTCTGAAACTTTGAGCGAAGCTGTTTCTGGCACTGCCTTTGGCTGCACGGGAGTCAATTTCTTTGCAGATTGCTCGTTAGCTTCTGCTTCCATGCTTCGCGACTTGGTGTCGTCTTGAAGACCCTCCATATTAGCCTTCAGCTCTTGGAGGTCCGAATAGGTAGCCGGAGAAGGTGGCGGAGGGGCCGGAATATCTTTTCGACGGAGGCTGGGACCGGGTGCATTTTGATGCGTCTTTGACCCGCTTGTGCGATGATGTCGCTTAGGCGGCACCTGTTCTTCCACAGCCACAATCAAGTGCTTAGCCCCGCGATTTCCGGTTTCGCCAGCATCGGGCATATCTGCGGACCTGGGTTTCGGTACAAGCTTGGGGCTAAATGCGCCCGTCTCCCCAACTGTCCTGTTTTGTCTCTTGGGAATTGTTCCCGTGGAAGATGCTACGAGTCGGTCCAAGGAGGGATACTCCCTCCGGCCACTAGGTTGGCTCTTGCGCTTGCTCGGCGTAGGGTCTCCTGCAAAATGGTAGTTGGCACTTCTGATTAGGTACAAAATTCAATGGTATTACTAACCTGGTACGGAAGTAGTTGGCAGTGTGGTCTGCGACTGTAGACTGGTTCTGGGTGCAGGAGTGGGCTTCACTCCGCCAGCCGGGCGTCCCCTGCTCAGTGGTAGCGTTGTCACTACGGGCTCAGGCCTGGGCTCCTGAGAAGAGGCTCTTTTGGGGCTAGATTTTTGATTGTTGTTGGTGGTGCCACCTGGCCTTGGAGCTCGACGCGAGGACTCTAAGCTATTGTTCCTCTGCATTTCTGACTGATAAATACTGCGTTTCACGTCGTTCACATGTTTGAAAAAATCCTGCGCGTATTTGTTCTGCTTAAGATCCAGCGGTGCGGTGTACTGCTGCTGCTGCATTGGTGGTGCCGCAGTTTCTTTTGGCTCTATGGGCTGATCCTGAGTACTCGATGGCAGGGTCCCTGCTGCAGTTTTGCGAGGAATGCCGCTGCTCCCGCCACGTGCAATCGATCCGTATACGTCATCGAAATCGGAACTGAAGTAGTTGGACGAGCAGTCACAATTGCGGCACTCGTATCGGCAGTTGTCCGAGTAGCTGCACTTGTCAGCTGACCCTGTTAGTGGGATTCCGGCTCCTGCTCCGGCTCCCGAACCCATCCCGATGACCCCGTCCAAGCTGCAGCGCCTGCAATCGTAGCCAAACCTGCTCTCAGAGCTCCCGTAATAGCGCCTCTGGCCGGAGTTCGAGTACATCGAAAAGAGGCTCGAGTCACTGACCCGTCCACCGTGCCGCCGGTGAGGATGCCGAGCGTAGCGCTGGGAGTTATCACTGCTGCGGAGCGAGAACTCGCTGAGGATAGAAGCTTTGGAGTCGCTCTTATACATCTGGGGGTCGTAGGGGTCCACTAGGATCTGGGATCCGCCGATTGGACGGCTGGCAGCGTACATAAGTGGGTGAAGTGGCGGAGCCCCACTGACAGCGTAATAGAGGTCACCAGTAGTCGGTGCGGCGAACACATTGGCCTCCAGACGCGCCATAGTATTATATTTGTGGTAGGGCAGCGAGTCGCTGGAGGAGGAGGATTTAGTGTTCAGCCGCTGCAAGGAAGCCACGCCTGAGCCAGGGCCTCCGTTTTGGTAGCCCACAAGGTAGTGTTGCTGCTGTAGCTTGCGGGGTGGTGTGGCAGATCCGTGTGGAGCCCCAGCCCCAACGCCGGCCATCTGAGCCAAAAGCAGGCTACCGCCCACGGCATAGTGACTCGACATCGGATTGCCCACCATGGACGTCTGGAAAGGCCTTTGGTGGACGTGGGCGTGCGGATGCGGATGCGGGAGGTAGTAACCGCCGTAAATCTGATGCTGGAGCTGTTGCTGCTCGCTGGGAGTTGTCGTCGCCGAGGTGGACGTGGTCGCTGAGGACTGTTGGAACTGGAGTATCGGATTATAGTCGCCGGTTATGGCCACTGGTGTTGTTTCAATTTTGTACACGCCCGGGTTGTTGGGGTTGTAAGACTGAAATTCCAGGATATGCGCGGCCGGCGCAGTCGAGGGTGTCCGAGACTCACTATTGTCCTCCTGAGATCTGTGGGTGGTGTAAGCCTCTGGGTGCTGTGGCTGACCCTTCAGGTTGCCACCTGCCACCAGCTGACCCCCTTGTTGTGTCACGCAAAACTCACAGTTGTCTTTGCTACACTGTTCCATGCTAATCTCGCAATCCGCAAAAGTATCTCCAGCACCTGCCTCGCTCGTTGTTCCCATGTTATGTGGTAGCTGGACGTCCTTGTCGGATAAGCCGGAGGCGATGGACATTGCTACGCCACTGACTGCACCTGCAACCGAGGAGGACACTGTGCTCGGAGTTTCCTTAAAAAAGATCTCCTCGTAGATGTTCTCCTCACTGCGGGAATGCCGCTTCTCCGCCTTGGCTGCTTGAGCTCCAACGCCGCCGCCACCAGCGGTTGTCCGCGGCTTGTCCACCAGTTTTTTTGAGCTCTTCAAGCCCTCCTTGAGCAGATAGTAATTAAAGCTTTTGATTCCGATTTCGCCACGCAATAAGCGTTTGCCAATCGCTATCTTCGTTGCTTCGCCGACTGCCTCGGCGGGTGCTGTGGCCGCAGAGTCCTGCGCCGAGCTGCGGGCTGAGTACACGTCGTCTAGTTCGCTGCCGTCCGGCTGGGCAACTTCCGATGCGCCCTCAGTATAGTACTTGCGATTCCGATCCTTGCGCGGACGGCTTTCAAAGTCGTGGCTCTGCTTGCCCGATGACACTGCTGCCTCCCGTTGGGTTTGGGGATGGACTGCGGCCAGATGGCGACTGTTGTCGAGGCTGAGGTTCCTCTTCTGCTTGGAGCTGCGCTTCTGAGCTACCTTCTTCTCGTACGGTGCTCTTTCTGCTGTCGTGATGGCCAGACTGCGTTCCAGACTTCGCACTCGGCGGGTCATGTTGCTACCCTTGATGGGGTCAAGGGGCTCATTGTCAGTGCTGCTCGAATCACATTCGTAGTTCAAACTGGCGGCTGCGCTACCGGACGCTGCTGTGCCCGACTGGGGACCCTTGATTTTGTCCTGTTTCCCCGTCACATACTGGTGCAGCTCCTTGGTGAGCTGGTGCCTGGGCAACAGACTGCTGGATGAGGCATCAGACCGCGACTTGTGCTCTGGTAGCGGCTTGCCGGAGATGCTGCTGCGGCGCATGGGGTTCGCCAAGTGGCTTATGTCCTCAGTATAGGCCGGATCATCGTAAATCCGCTCGCGCACCGAGGTGGATGAGCGATCCTTTGTCTGAAAATAATAATATTGAGCAATGTGCCGGAGGGAAACTACCAGGGCGCACCTTGACTTTGTTCTTCTTCCGACTGCGGTGTGGTATCGTCACATCTGTCAATTTTAAGAGCTTTGGTCTCAATGAACGCTTTGACCCCTTGCCTCTCTCGTACGTCAAGTCCAAATAGGTCTCGGTTGTCATCCTTCAGACTACGCACAAATCGATGGTAATCGGCTGTGATGGATGGACAAGCGTATTTAGGAAATTGCACCTACTGTCAAGGTCAACAAATTGTTAAGGGCATGGCTGGGTAGCGCATCGAAAGGTTTTAGAGAAGCCTCTTTGGATTTATATTCATCTAGTGCTAGTGCTAGTTATACCTCAAAACGGAATGAGAGTAACTTGGAGAAACTACAGTTCCGAATAGATTTCCCAATTCAATCTATTCCAGGGTATTATAAATTTGTTAACCTAATAGAAACTAATACCGAAGAATTGAACACAGAAATGAATGCATTTGTGGCTTAGTTATTATTGACTTCCAATTCGCTCTCATGACCAAATGGCAAACTGCAAACCACAAACTGCGGAGTTAACTTTCTTTTTAATTTGGTATGATTTTATCTTGTAAATGTTTATCTTATTAAGATGCGGGGCTCTCGGCATAATTAATACAACTTCTACAATGGGTCTACCTTAATTATTTGAGGCTAGTTTCGTTTCCTCCTGACGATGAAATCACTCCCATTTTAGGGTGTGGCTGTGAAGGATGCGTGCCCAATGCATCAAGTCTAATCACTCCTCTTGGCCACAAAGGATATTAGGGCACACACTGCGAGTGCAGGCAGATGTGAATCTAATACGGATTGCCAAATATGTATGTGCACATTGGGGTGGGGCGGCATTTGTTATTGTGCATTAAATGCACCTGCGAGTGAACAGGACTCGGCTATCGAAATGCAGAGACGGGAATTCAGCCAGGCAGGAAACGCAGTAGGAAGTAGGAGTGAAGCTAAGGCTGCAAAAATGTCATTGTAAATCATCAAGCAGCAGCGAGAATTAATATACATTATGTATTTCCCGCATTTTAAAAAGTTATACTCAGGCAAAGCCATTTATCCTTGTATACACACACTGTCATGCGTTTTGTAGTATCCTCGAAGTGCTCTATTGTGTGCAATGGTCCTCCATCCGCACAACTGAGACGCGACGCCCAAACGTTCGTACCGCCCGTTACGTCAAAACCAAACTGAATTTGTCCGCGCTCGCGATTCCCACAGCTTGCGAGTCCTGGCACGGATGCTGAGTTAGCATACGCCGAGTCCAAGTGCCGAGGAGAGTGCCAGTGCCGGACAACGTGGCAACGCATATTTGGCGCCTGCGCTCAGATTAGCCACCATTTGACAGTTACACGCTCATCCGCAGCTATACTTTCACTACCCTGCCCGGAGTCCGCAGTCCACAGTCCACAGCCTGGACTCCAAAGTAGCCACCGAGCAAGGGTCCTTACTTGTTGAGTTGTGACTCAGGTGCACCAGCAGGCACAGCTCCTCCGACTTGATTGATTCGGCAACTATCTCTTGTTTGAGGTTGAGGTTGCCGAGTGCTGGACGGACGGTTCCCCTGACGGAACTGCGCATGACTCACCCAGTGGTGAAGTGGAGTGCGTAATCGTTGATTGTGGAAATACTCATTTTGGCATCTGTAGTATGTGGAGGACTTCCGCAAACGGCAACCCACCCACCCGTCTCCGCCATCCTTTATTTTGGCACGTGTTCACACACACCGTTGCAGGGCAGCAACATGTTGCTGAGCTTGCGTGTTCGTCTGTGTTCGCTTTAGCCCTGTCGTCCTGTATTTACATTGCACATTAGCACCACATCCTACCACACAACGCCACGGTTCACACATCTTCCACGCCAACGATGCCAGAAACAGTCATACGCTGTCCAAAAATATGTTCTTCTATTTTGGTTACCCCAAACATCTCCTGTTTTTAAACACTTTTCCTATTTGTTATGTTTTCGTAACAATTAGAGAGCCGAGCTGGTCTTACGTGCCAAATGTCAGGCCAGAAATAATACAAAACTGCTTACCGAACAAGCGGGAGAGAATTAATGGAACGACCCAAGCTGCTGGGGCTGGGGGCTTTGCATGTAACTCAAATCTGTCACTGTCACCAGCAGATAGAGACACCGACACTTGTACACGAAGAGGAGACACCAAACCAATTCCAATTCCAATTCCGAGTCTGGAACACAAGGGGCGTATGCCAGGACTACGATACATCAATCCACAGGCATCGCAGCAAACATGTGCGATATGTTCAGCTTGCCAAACGCTATAATAATTGAGCTTGTTTCACTCTTCACCAGCCAAGGGCCACAACTCCTAATTTAACCAATCTTGAATTTGGCCCTTAAAAGGGTTTGAGGGCAATAAGTCACTTGCTGTTTGATTTTTTTTGAGTTTGTAATGATTATTCAAACATGGGGGTATCAAGAGACTAGTCCCCCACAGGTATTTTTCGATTTTCTTGGTGCTCGGGGCATTGGCTCTAAAGATGCAACATAATAATTTAAAAAAAACATATAAACTACTCGTTTTTAGTTTAAATTGGTCTTAATTGGAATTTACAAAAAAAAAAAAACAAAAGAGACTCAAAGCCCTACGCTTTGAAGCCACGGGCCCAATTCTTAACAACCGGCCTTGACTTATAGCTCTTCTCCAGTTCGTCAGCCTGCATTTGCTCTTCGAGCTTTCGCTGGTTTTCCCGAAACTGTGATATGGGATCCTTGAACTGACCGTAATACTGCAGCACCTCGCGGACATCATCGACGCCGTTGGTGCTCAGGACACGGAGGAACGCCACAAGATCAAAGAGGGTCGTGTCATCGTCGTTTCCTGCCCAGCGGGGAATCGCAAAGCAGTTTGAGGGATGCAACTTGGTGGCGTTTCTATCCCAGTCCACGACCACCACTCGCTTGAGGTCTCGGTTGAGGTTGTCCAGATTTTTCACATGGTGCCCTTCAACGAAGTGCGTCGAGTCCCGAACCAGGCGATACATAATATAGCCCTTGGGATCCAGGGCTTCGAGTATCGGGAACACCGTGGTCCCTTGCTCTGCGGTGTAGACAACGATTTCGAAATGCTTGGCGCACTCCTCTAGGAAAAGGTCAACGCCGGGACGCTTTTTGAAGCGCCAGCCTGTTTCGTAGGTCCAGTCCGGGTGCACTAACAGGTCTTTGATCTCTAGCACCAGAGTGTAGGCTGGCTGGACGTAGGGTGGTTGTAAGGGGTCCGGAAGCAGCTTCCGGCTCGATGGCTCCTGGATAAATCGCTGGAATTGGTTTGCAGACTTCCAGCTTCGCGCCATATATTGTTGCATCTGCGGCAAACTGCTGAACTCGTCAAAGACTTCGTTTCCCTGTTCGTCGAAGGCCGGCTGGCCAAAGTAATAAATGGCCCAGAGGGAGAAGAGTATACCTCCCACACTAAAGAGTCCGAAGCCATGCTGCATCCGCTTCCAGGCACGCTCCATTTCCCTAAGCTCCTCCTCCTCGTCGCGCTGGCGCTGCTCGCAAGTCTCCTGCTCGCTGAACTCCACGCTGGTCTGGGGAAAGAGCTTTGACAGTATCTGCGTTGAGGTCTTCTGATCCGTCGAGTAGTGTCGGTGCGCCACATAAGCCAATGACGAGTCACAGGAGTGCCTTAAGGACCTAAAAAACCATGCACAGCATTTTGCATCTCGCCTCCTTCCAGCCTTCGCACTTACGGCCTGCATCGCCTGGACTGCGTCGACCATGGGGCGCCACAAGCCCAAGGCGAGAGCCCGCCGTGCGATGAGCTGGCGGCCAATCTGCGGGCATCTGCACAACACCCGCGCGATCCGTTTTAAGGTCATCTTTTATGTCATGCAACAGGATTTCTATGGGGTTTCAGTTTCCAGAACTAGCCACTATTAAATTTGACATTCTTGTGTCAGCCGAGAGCGATACAATTTGTTGTTCAGTGTGAAATGTTTTCATAAATTTTGTAGCAGCGCAGAGTCGATGATAAGCTGGTGCCTTTTGACTGCGACAAATTCGAACATAACCCAAATTCATATTCGATTCAAACAAAAGCCTCATAGCCCCCATGTTGCTTAGAGATCTGTGAGAGCAAGTGAAAGCTCTTTGGGCAGCATTCAAACATTTGCAAATATTGCGGGCTTGCCATGTTGCGCAATCCTGAGCAAGGCGGCATATCGTATACGTCCCGATATATCGCATCGGTGGATGCCACAAAACCTCATATCGACCAACAAATACAGTGCAGGTGCAGTTTATCTGTGTTTATAAAAAGGCGAATTGCCTTTTGCCCCAAATAAGAAGCTACTGCTCCAGATTAAGAGACTGCACAGACTGCATAGGTGACGGAGATGAGAGCAGAGGATTGCTTGAATATCTGAATATACCGGCTTTAGATCCATTCTGTGCGATTTCCAAAGGCTACCACCAGAGGGAAAAGCTATTTTTACCGGCAGGCGTCTTGTGGAGACAACGAGAATGTCGCCACCACGTAGCTTCAATCGCGGATTCGGTGGCGGAGGTGGAAGTGGAAGTGGCAGTAGAGGTGGAGGTGCGTAGGCCAGCGTTATCTGTTGGGACGAACTTATTTATCGTATTTCGTTTACATTCAGTGTATGCCGGCCGCGTAGATAGACATAGCAGACGCAGCAGTCCGCGGCGGCGGAGCGGTGGATTTAATCGAGGTGGGGCGTCGGCGTCCAATGGCGAATTTTCTGGTATGTCCAGGAGTGGGATAGCCCATGTATACTCACAATGTTGAATGCTGCGGCTCTTTTCAAATAGATTTGCGAGGTGTCAACTGGAGCAATGTGCAGCTGGCTCCCTTCGAAAAGCAGTTCTATCGAGAGCACCCAACGACTGGCAATCGCCCTGCCCAGGAAGTGGAACGCTTTCGGGCCCAGCACGAGATAACGGTTCGCGGAGAGGCGCCCAATCCCATACAGCACTTTGACGAAGTGTGCTTCCCCGACTACTGCATGAGCGAGATTCGGCGCCAGCGGTACTCGGAGCCTACGCCCATACAGGCCCAGGCCTGGCCAATTGCCATGTCGGGTCACAACTTGGTAGGAATAGCCAAGACTGGGTCCGGCAAGACACTGGCTTTCATCCTGCCCGCCATTTTGCACATTAATGGACAACAGCGCCTGCAACGAGGCGATGGCCCCATCGCCCTAGTGCTCGCCCCAACGCGGGAGCTTGCCCAGCAGATTCAGGCGGTCGCCAATGATTTCGGGTCAACTGCCTATGTACGCAACACTTGTGTCTTTGGCGGAGCGCCACGCTCCAGGCAGGCCAATGATCTGGAGCGGGGGGTGGAGATTGTCATTGCAACGCCGGGGAGATTACTCGATTTCCTGCAGGCCGGAGCCACCAATCTGCGACGCTGCACCTACCTGGTTTTGGACGAGGCTGACCGCATGCTGGACATGGGATTCGAGCAGCAGATTCGCAAGATACTGGGTCAGATACGTCCCGACCGACAGATACTGATGTGGAGTGCCACTTGGCCCAGGGAGGTGCGCCAGTTGGCAGAGGACTTTCTTGGTAGCTACATACAGGTAAGCAAGGCAGCCTTCCTGCTGAGCCAGACCAATAACGAACCATTTCGGGCAGATTAATATCGGATCATTGGAACTGTCGGCCAACCACAACATACGCCAGTACGTGGAGGTGTGTGCGGAGCACGAGAAGGGTTCCAAGCTCAAGGAGCTGCTCTCGCATATCTACGACCAGTCGAGCGCACCCGGAAAGATTATCATCTTCGTTGCCACCAAAAAGAAGGTCGACGAACTGGCACGCTTCATCAATGCATTTGGCGTTGGCGTCGGCTCCATCCATGGTGACAAGTCGCAGGTCGACCGTGACAGCGTACTGAATGACTTTCGGGGCGGACGAGCTAATATTCTGGTGGCCACCGATGTGGCAGCCCGCGGCCTCGATGTTGATGGCATTAAGTATGTCATTAACTTTGACTTTCCGCAGTCCTCGGAAGACTACGTGCACCGGATTGGACGCACTGGACGAAAGCATTCAACGGGCACTTCGTACGCATTTTTTACGCGCAAGAACGCCAAGTGCGCTCGGGCCCTCATCGATATACTCCGCGAAGCCAATCAAAATGTTAATCCGGAATTGGAGAGCTTGGCTCGCGACTCGGGAGGCCGCGACCGGCATCGTGGAGGGCGAGGCTCCATCCGAAATAGTGGGAGCGGCAGCTCCTCGGGAAGATTTAACAATAGCGGCGGCAGATCGAGCGTTTTTAACAATTTCAACAGTAACAATACCGAACGATTCGGTGGCAGATCTGGGGGATTCAGCGATTCGGGATTCGGGAACAGTGCACATGCCGCAGGCAGAAGTTTTTCTTCCAATGTAATTTCAAGTAATAGAGGAGGAGCGTTTTCAAGCGCGGCGACCACCTCGAACTTTGGTAGTGGCAACAGTGGCCATTTGGGGTCATCGCTCAGCAAGTCGGGACAACATTAGTTAGATTTATATATCCTTTCAGAGGGTGCTCACACTTTGTGGCGCGTTAAGGAGACATTTCAATCCAGTTTAGAATAAATATAAACTTGTCTCACAGTTGACTGAAACGTTCTTAATGATATTTCTATGGCTCGAATTCCGATTCAAATTTTTCTTTAATTATGAGGGTACCTCCTCTCTCCATCGCGATAGACTAAAACCTCTATTTGATTCCGGTTAAACGAATAAAAATACCCTTTTAAAAAAAGCTTTGAATGAATCTGATGTTTGGATTGGATTGTTTTTACAAAAATGTAGGATCTACCATCTAAACCACTTATAAAATGCAATGCATCTGTTTTCAGTGCATAAAATGCTTAATTACAATGTTAATTAATCGTGCGACGAAATGCGACGAGCAGCTGCAAGAGAAGGATATTAGAAGAAATATTTAGCAAATTAGACGGCAGACAGCCTCACCTTTCTCCTTCTGCTTCCTATCCTTTGTGGAAAGGTTCGGTCCGTGTTGTTTTCCGGCTCCAGCGCTGCCATTGGCCTTGCACTTCTTGTTAACGGTGCGCACAGGATCGCAGTTCTGGTCACTGCCGCCGACTGCCTCCGGCTGGACCTTGTCCTCCCTGGTCATTTGTCCGGCGTTGCATGGCGACCAAGCGCCCTTCTCATAGCGGCAGCCTATCCGAAAATTAAGAGTCAAATATAAACATTAAGCTATGCACTCTATGCAATCATTAAAACGGTTCTGTGGGTATCATTATATTCCATTCTATTATGTTGCGCAGTTCAGGAAATGCGGAAAAACGGGGGCGGACCCGAACATAGGGGGGAGCAGGAGCAACCCATAAAAGAGTCTGCCACTAATTGGAGGACACACGCTGCGGCAAAAGGCGCACTTCGATTTTACAGACACTGCGCGTAAATAGGTCAACGAGAATGATTAAGTGGAGCCGAAGCCGGAGCCGTTGGGCCTAATTAAACGGCAGTCGCACAAACCAAGTCATCTGCGGGGTGCCTTTCGAGGATTATGCAACGCCGCCACACCGCCAACACCCACCTTTCTTGCACTTCTTCTGTATGGTCCGTGTGGGCAAGCAGTTCTGCTCCCCCTTCTTCAGGGACAGGACTCGGGTGCGAATGTTGGTCTTGGCGTCGCAGTTGGACCAAGCGCTCTTGGCGTATCGACAAGTGGAGCCTGCAATAAGTGATATGGAAATAGTAGAGTAGAGCCACTTTGATGAGGGATTATCCTTTCTCACCATTATTCTGCGTTCTCGGCGTGGGTCCTGCTCTCTTGCCTGCTCCATGGTGGAGCTGATGCTGATGGCCGTGCTGTTGCTGCTGCTTCTTGTTTCCCTGTCGAGGTGGCTTCTCCGCATTCTTGTGTCCTTGCTTGTGCTTTGGATGCGAGTGCGGAGGCGGTGCACTGGCATTCTCCGCAGCAAGAGGCTTCTTGTTGCCCGGTTTGTGGTCCTGAGACCTATTCCTCTTGCGGTTGTTCCTCAGCCGGTGGGTGTCTCCATTCCCGTTGGTGACGGGAGTGGCCGGTGCCTCCTCCTCCACAGCCCCACGAACTGGACGCCGGAGTAGCACTGCACCCTCCTCCGTCTTCATTACCAGGTGGATCCCAGCAACTCCATCTTCGCTGTCACTTGATGGTGGGATCTGTGCCAGTACTACTAGCACCAATTGCGAAACCGTCGTCAATATTAGAAAGAGATTCATAGCTCCGTTCGGGGATCTGATACCAAAGAAATCATATTATATTACATTCTAAAAAGTTCTTGGAAAACCAAAATACAGTACGAGAACTATATGGGGGAAGTATTTAAAAAAACCTAATGGAAAATTGTGTTTAAAAAACTACAAATTAACAGAATGTATATATTAATTAGGATTTTATATTTAGTAGAACTGTACTCTGACAATCTCGATTTGAAAATAGTGATTTTATGATGTTTTGTTTCCCTATCTTGCTAAACTATATATGTATATCTTTGCCTGTATAAATATCATTTTGGAAAGAATCTTGAAATTATAAGGTTTATTATTTCAGTACATCTGGCGGACATATGTCCAATATGTTTTGTCTGAAAAGTACACAAACAGGAGGCAGACAGGTTTGATAAAGCTTGAGCCAAATTGTTTTGAAATTGTTTTCTCAATTGTTTTGATATTGTTTTGTGTTGCTTCCTTATCCAATTTCAAAAAAATGCTCACTTGCCACCCGATTCGTGTGAAATCAGTGGCTCAGGAACTCTTATAAGTCTTTAGCTCTTCCACTCGCCGCAGCTCTCCTCGACAGGAAGGGGTGCTTGTCTCGTATTTATGCTGCGCGCGCACTAGCTGCAATCGACACCGTAAAACTCACTCAAATCTCAGAGAGGGAATGTCCGGACATATGCGATGTGGATTTAAGTTTTAAGCTCAGACGCAGGGTTCACTGACTACGAGAAGGCGAGGAAATGCTTTGAAGAAACTGCCGACTGGAAGACTGGTGGATTGCGGCTCGCGATCGGCCATAGAGAGTAACTTTATATAGAGGCACAATCCGTTCTGTCGAACAATTCCTCTGCCGACGTCGACGATCAAATGTTCGACGTGACGTCACGTCTGCTGACGATTCCGTAAACAAAGTCCTGTTAAGTGGTGATTACAGAGGGAAAATTCTGTTAGCGGCGAATGCAGAGGGAAAGTCATGTTAAAAAGACGATTCCATACGGAAAGTCATGTCAGTGTGCTGTCCGAATTCGTACCCAAAGTCATGTTATCCGTCAAACATGCATGAATGGGTCGTAGTGACTACCCTAGTTGGATGCAACCGTGAGAGTCTGGAAAAATTGGGCCTCCATATAGATGCTCTCTCTGCTGTGGCCAAACTGAGTGGGGCGCCGGACCCGAGAGACTCGGAAACTGCTCAATTCCAGGCGAAGGCGCAATGAGAGCTGGGGCGAGGGGAGCGCCATTGAGACATGCTTTCTTGTACCATAGAAAATGGTATATACATGAAAAAGTCCAAGTGCTACCGCTGGGGGCGCTGAAACCCCCGATAATATAATTACAGGCCCAATGGCGCTGGATAAAGATATACAATTCGATCTTCGTATTGCGAGACCCTTTTCTGTCACTGTGTAATGAGATTCCAAACCCCTGAAATCGTGTAGACTTTATTAATAAACATGGAATGCATTCTTATCAGTTACACACCCGGTACTCTGAGTATGTTCGAGTATATTGAACTCTTACAGATGCATTTGATAAGGTATCACTGAAGGCCCTAGGAAGTATTTAATCAGATCTAGCTAGGTCGAGATCCAAATTTATGTTATACAGATTACTTTTTCTGTCGAGAAGCAAAGCCAAAGCCTGCGGGTTCCGGGTATCAGAGAGTCGGGACACTCCGCACAGGTCATGTTCTCTGCTTTATTATGATCGATTATCTATGTACATGTACAGAGGAAATGCAAGGGAGTCACATTCATATCTCAACTGAGGCAAACTGAATGTAAACAATGACCAGGCGTTGTGTAACATATTGGAGTTCTTCGAGCAGTTTACAATTATGTATATCAAAATACAAGTAGATACAGTTTTGAGCAAGTTTCAGTATACATCTCTCTTTCCCAGTTCCCAGTTCCATTTCGTTACCGAGACCTCAGCCAAAACATGTTTTGAGTGATTTCCCTGAGAGAGCGGATTCAGTTTGGTAAAGAAACAAACACAGGCAAGGAAAATAAACAGCGAGAAATAAGTGCATGCTATGGAAAAATCTTTAATTTGCTTTTATTTTATCTTCATCTTGCAAACTAGTGTGTATATGAATATTTAGGTCCTCCTAGGCTCCAAGCTAAGATACGAACCTTAACCGGAAACTTATACCTGTACCTGTACCTGTACCAAGGAGATCTTAAGGTAGCCGTGGAGACTTCTTCAGCCTTCAAACCGAGCCCCCAGCAGGGCTCATTACTTCCGCTCAGCGAAATGCGTTTGAGTAATTATTCAAGTGGTTATTCCATAATATTTGTATTTATTAAAGTTCAGTTACTTCTTTTTCTTATATTGTATGCGTCTGCATGTATACGTATGTAAACAAATTTCACTTTACTTCGGGGCAGTTGCTCTTGTGCTCAGATTCCTTGTGGAACAAAGAGATTCGCCGAATTCTGCCCCTAACGATGATGTGTTTATGAATAGAGCATGCCGTGAGTGTAAATGTGAGTGTGAATGTGAATGGTATCGGTATCGGTATGGGTATGGATATGGATATGGGTATGGGTATGGTTGTAAAACTGCTTACAGACAATTACATCAAGTCGTAGTAACGTTCTAAGTTTATATGTGTTTATTAAAAAGATAAACCATGTCTTTGAGATGGTACAATTTTTGATCAGAATATGTATGTATGTGTGTGTCGGTACTTCGACTGTATATTAATTTAAGGGAGTTTCCGGGGAGCTGGTATCCCGTTCCCAAATGTGGTTTACTTTAATTATTCAGTATTCAGTGAAAGTGAGCTGTAAACTACTTTAAAATGCCAATCGCCTACAATGTCCACTCCCTCGTGTTCCATCCTTCTATAGTAGGTTTTACTTTTTATTCTTGTTTTTATTTTTACAATATTTACACTAAGTGTTAAATTTATTATCTGCGAATGACAAATTTGATACCGTTCTGTTTTTACTTGAGATCTGATACAGAAGCTGATACTTGCCAAAATGTCACATCAATAATCAGATTAAATGTTTGGTTTTATTTTTTAGATTTACGGTTTACGGTTATTATTATGTAAAATTCAATGAAGAACAACTCTAAATATATGGAAAGGGCTTGAACAGTCACTCGAATGGAGGCTGCGTTTAAGAATTGATATTGATTCCGATAAGGCAACTGCCCCTCCAGTTTTTGTAATTTCAGAGAATGCTCTATTAAGACTGGGATGTTGGATTTATGTATTTGTTTTCGTTCCCGTTTCTTGAATAAACTAAATTATTAGGTATTTATGTAGGTATGGTAGTGGTAGTGGTAGTGGTAATGGTAATGGTATTGTATGAATATCCTTTATTCTGCGTTGCATAAATACGTTTAATTCCGCAAAGTTGCTATTATGTTTTACAATTGAACGTACTGTCGTTAAATATTAAGTGTAAGTGTATCGTTTGCTGAGAACCAAACTACAACATTTAATCAATATGCCCATGCCTTTCGGGTATACATAGCAGACATGGCATGGCAATTGGTGCCATCGCAAATCGCAATTCTGTTTCTCATTGTTACAAATATATTAAAAACTGGGCAGGTTCAACTTAAAGTATTCGCCTCACATATGAGAGACGCAAACCAACGGGGCTATGGGGCATTTGAAATGATCGATTTTCGAAATTTATTATTGATTTTCGAAATCAATTAAACACGTCCTTTGCGAGCGGCTGCATGGAAATGACAAGAAACAGAGAACGGAGAAATCATTGTGGTGAGAGTAATTGAATAACGGCGGATAACTTTAAATTAGTCTATCTGTAGCCATGATATTTTGAGTAATTTATTCACATATTGAAAGTTCTCCCGAATGCAGCAATGACTTGGTCTGTGTAGCCTAAAATTCGGAGCTTGCCAACTGACCTTTATCCTTGTTCTTGCGCTGCTCTTTGGCACTCTTATCCTTGGACTTGCCAGGCTTGCAGTTCTTCTTGATCACGCGCGTTGCTTCACAGGAGGGATCACTGCTCGTTTTCAACTTGTCAGCCCGAGTCATCTGTCCCGTTGCGCACTCCGACCAGGATCCCTTCTCGTATCGGCATGCTGTGGGGCAAAGCAGTAAGTACTCTATGTCGGAGGTAGGCCCCTTGGCCCTCTATTACCTTTTTTGCATTTCTTCTGAATGGTGCGTGTTTGGTCGCAAGCCGGATCTCCCTTCTTCAGTGTCAAGGTTCGCGAGCGAGTGTTCGTTTTTGTATCGCATTCAGTCCACGGATTCTTGCCATATCGGCAGGACAAACCTTTAAGGATGGAAGGACCCAAAGTTATTGTAGTCACGCTGGGACGAATTCAACAGACTGGTTCACAGAAGGCACCCTTCGTAAATCCACAATCCGTCGACTCACCATCGCTCTTGGTGCCGCGCTCGTTCCTTATTAGGACTTCGTGGTCATCTTCCTCCCAAACTTCTCCTTGAATTGCCGTAGTGGGCTGGGTCTGCTCTGCCACGGGGAGCGCAAGCGGAGTCTCTTGGCCCTCTGTGGTTCCCCAAGCCGAGCTGCACAACACCCCCGACCATGTCACAAACGTTGCCAGCAGAAGCGCGTTGTAATTATGTCTCATGGTGTGACTTTTGCTGCTACCCACTGCGAAGAGGGAAAAGAGAAAACCAACCTATACCTTAACACGGAAAAGATGGTAGATACATTCCACTGCATAGAAGCGGAGAAAATGAGTTTCGCTTCAACTTAAAAATACTTATAACTAATATGTATCCGTAAATCGGGAGGAGAGCCCCCCTCTGTGTTCCGTCTCGTATCCGTGAGAAAAAAGGCAACGCAATTGCCCTGCCCGATTATTGCCACATACAGCATATATTATATTTGCACAGGAGATATGAATACATATGCTCTCCATTTCGGGGCAGACTTTGGGGCACTGGTTAAAAATCAAGTTTAGCACATAGTTTCTGCTCACAGATTTGTAAAAATATATATATTTCGCTGGCACGGAACCGATCTAAGTGGGGACCAACCGTTAGTTATACACACAAAACAACTCCAGACTCAGACACGGGGTAGAAAAAACTGTTGTCGTCGGACTGTATCAACTGCTCTCGTTGCACGACTCTTCGAAACTGAACGGAAAGATATAAGGACATCAGCATAAAAGGCCACGGCATGTATAGTATCCTACAGGATTCTATGCTCCCTTCTCTTACATCTCGAACTGAGAGAGTGCGCAGCAGCGCCAGGACTTTTATCAATGAGCTGCGCATGTTCTACATATAAATATTTAACATTCTATTTTTATCCTGAATGCTGCGTTGCCTAGCTCGCTCCTCTCCCGTGCCTGTGCCCGTACCCGTGCCGTGCCTGTAGGTGGCAATAATATAGGAAAAAATAAACACACTTCTCCGTCCAATAATTTATCCCAAGTCGGATAAATCAAAGAGACGTTTTTGAAGCAATCTCTAAGGCCACTGTTAATGTCACACGTCTTGTTCTCTCGCAGTTTCCTACTAAGTTGGATAATTGCTGGACAACGCTCCCCTCTGACCTCTGGCCTCTGGCCTCTGCCAATTTTGGCCCTGAAGCAGGTCTCTTGCTCAATTTAGTGACGCGACTCCATAATGGCGTAATGCCAGCCCCAGCCCCACCCAAAGTTACATGCAATTTGCGGTCGATGGGTGGGCCAATGCTCTTCTGCTGGTCCACCGATGCCGCCAACACTCGGTGGAGTATCCGCAAACTTGCTGTAACCCTATATGTTACGGTTAACATTCTTTCGTAGAATAAGCTATAATTATATGGACTTGTCCAAGGCGCCTGGACTGATTTCCCATTACCAATCCAATCAATCACCTGTTGTAACAAACAATCACTTGGCCTTGTTCAGTAGCTATACGATTTTTACCACTTCTGCTCCATCAACAAGGACTGATGGTGGAATGGTGGACTGGCAATAGGTGACAAATAAAGCGTAACATTGTACGCCGTGCAATAAGGACAATGGATACTGTGCCGTGTCCGACTGCCCCCTGCTTCATTTGTACTGCAAACTGCGAGGCGTCGTTACAACCAACAACCTGGGGTCAGTATGTAGGCGTTGTTGAGTCAAACAGCTGTCATAAAATTTAATAATGCAAATGTAATTAAGTGACCTGACCCGAGCCTGAGCCCCACATGCTCTGGTTTGGACTGTCGGTTTGGCAGACTGGCAGTCGCTCTCTTCTGCAACCGCACCTTAAACAAGCAAATTGATGACGTTGCCTGCCACTGCTTTATGAGAAGGGGAAAAAAATCTATACAATTATGTAGAATGGCTTGGCATTGTTAGCATGCAGTTCGAAACTAACTAAATAATTAAAAACTCATTATTTAAGACTACAAGCCTTTACAGATTTTTGTATTCACTTGACCTACATACATACATACAACATACAACATACAACATACAACATACAACAGGAACATTAAATTAGTAGACACTAGAAGTGGATTAGGGTATAAAACATGTTTTATTTTGGAACCGGAAGAAAGAAGCTTCACCGACCCTATTAGGTTAGGCACAAATGTATGTATATGTATGTTTAGTCCAGCCAGCAACTATAATTAGGTATTTTATTGTCATAAAAAGCCAAAAAAAATAAAATAATAATATTATATCGCGGGATTTAAGAATTTCACACATTTTTGCGGTATTTTTCGCTCTTAATAAGCTAGCTTCAGGGATTTTACGTTCAGTTAAGGCCAGTCGGATGAGTCATAAAACAGTCACCTGAATGCTTAGGCGAATCCACAGTTTTCCGCAAGCTGCAAACAGCATATCGACGAATCTGGACCGCTTGAACTGAACGTAAATGTGAACGAACAAAGCCGGTGCTCGGTGTTCCAGTCAGTTGAGCAGCCCCATTCATATCGAATCGGAACAAAAGCTCCCGGTGACCCGGTGGAAAGTAGAAGTTATCATTGATTCTTTAGCCAAACCAGAGCCAGTGTTCTATGCCCGTTTCCATGACAACCCTTGGGGTTCAGGAACATACAGAGAATTAGCATGCACCAGCGCATAGGTCCCGTCCCCCAGTGGTTATCAGTTGTTGGATAGCCGTTCGAGTCGGCAGCAACTTTGGCTCCGTACAATCCGTGACAGAGAAGACAGTACACACACCACATAGAAATTGAGGAATAACGACAAGAGTATATAGAGCATACCTACCTATATGCATATATTCCAAATTCTTATCAAACTCCACGCGATTAACAACAGAAGCAAGAGCCGCTCCTTAACCTGTCCCTGCCAGCTATGGTACAATCACTATAAGCAGCCGATTGATATATCACACAAGATGCTTTGGTTCTTAATCTGGGACATTCTGTTGTCCCTCACACTGTCGGCGTCCATGCCAGTGATTGACAGCGGCTCGGCCTGCAAGGCTATTGCCACCTGTGATCCATTTCTTCCCATCTGTGCAACTGCCACAAACGAGCACCAATTCTTCTACAGCCACTGTGAAATGTTGCGAGACATTTGCCTCACGGGAAAGGGTGAGTTACATGCCACTAAATGTAGCCCCAAATGCTAAGCAATACAACATTTTTTCTTGTGCAACAGATTGGAAATCGGACTACCTAAGCCATTGCAACGTTAGCAAACTGTAGCGATCGTGAAGATCGGCTTTAGAGTGACTAAGGATAATATTTGCACCTAGACTGAGACTGAATAAAGTAAACTAATATTGGCCATTCGATTTTGGTCTATACAAACATTTATAATCAAACGGGTTTTAAGTCTTAAATGTATTTAAGGCGACGAGCGCAGACTATTGACTGCTGTTGACCAAATCGGCCAGTTTGTTACGCCTGAACTCTTTTCTTGCCTCGTCGAGGAGTACATTGTGCAGCAGATTCCTATTCTGTGAGTGATCCGTCGCGAGCGTGGGGTATGGATTGCCCCTGAGCTCTAGCACTGACTGTCTGTAGTAAATGCCAGGATAATCTCTGGGGGCCTTGTACATGCGAGTGTAGGACAAATTGTGGTTTTCATAGCGCGGCACTAGTACTTTGAAGAGCTTGTGCACAAGCTGTTTCTCCAGCAGCCAATAATCAGCCAGTTCCATGGTGGCTTTGTGTCGGTCCCCGTACCGTATGGCATTCGAGATGAGCTGCAAGACACAGGCAAGAGGAAAATGAGGAATGGGATATAGGGCGAAACCTTAAGTGGACTTGGGCTCACCAGCTCTGCGTATCCACGAGCCTCATCCGCTCGATTGTAGAAGAGTTCAATGCGCTCGTGTTTCACCAACGCCGTGACGGTCTTGCGCAGCTTCAGCAGTCGCCCTTCCGGACCGTCCGGGTTCCTTAAGTTACGTTTATTCGGCCTAACTGCGATACGCAGCTGCGACATCAGCTTGGTTACATCCGCTTGATTCATTTTCACTGAACTTTTGTAATTTTTACAAAACAAGAAATCACGTAATGAGCCGGCGAACAGCTGTTTGCCAGCCAATCGATTATTCAGTATCGATGTTGCGCCAGTAATATATCGATATTCTATCTCCGTAACAAGAACAAGCATATGAGAAATTTTTAATTTGTTTATTACTATGTATATTTATGCGTATCTACCTAAGCTAGGTGCTGCAGAATGCCCTGTCGCACAAGGGACTCCACCTGTGCTCGTGGCAAGTAATGCTGGCTGTTTTTCTTCAGGTGTATCACCTCTCCGTCCTCCAGCTCGAATTTTCCGTAGTCCTCCATGCAGCGCACTTCTATGTACAGGGACTTGGGAGGACGCAGGTGGTTGGTCAGATCAATGCCCTGTCCTTGACTGTAGCCGGCGCTGCACATGTACGCCGCCAGGGACTTGGAGTAGTTGTTAAAGAACTGCACCTCCGGCTCGCACAGGGCCTGCTTGATGTCTCCGGGAATAATGGGGCCAAACTCCCAGCGCAAGGCCTTGATACGCTTGGCGCGCTCGTAGAGGTAGGCCAGCAGACACCGCTTGTTTCGCTGCAGGGCCGCGTGCCTGTAGTTTAGCAGTGGCCACAGACTCCGATCCCCCGAGGCGTTGTAAGTGGAGGCTTGCGCCACGTTCTCCTCGAAGATGGCCTTGATCTCCTCGAGCACCTGGCGCACGCCGTCGTCGTCGAAGGCGGGAATGGTTTGCGAAGATCTTTCCAATTCCTTCAGCAGCTCGAAGGCTTTGTCGCCGAACAATTTGTTTGGCCGGCTCATTGTTGATATTTGTTGCTGTTAGTGATGGGACAATTCAAACGATGACGCGCAAATATCGCGATAAGCAAACATTTTTGGCTGCGCCGCTAGGGGTGGTTACAGTTAGAGTAAAAAGAAGGATGAGTTTTCCGGAGTTTCCCGCTTTCCCCAGAAAGTCTTAAGATGGTGCGCGAAAAAACAACCAATTTCCACGAAAAGTATGGCAACGCCAACGCACGATGTTGATATGGTTATCGATGTTGAAATAAAAATCGATGTATCGTACATAACGAAGATATCGATATCCGACATTTACATCGCTGTTTTGCCAGCTCTAGCTTCTGGTCAAAAAATCTTCTGCTGAAAAAAGTTAATTAGGTTGGAACGGTGTGGATCCCGAAATTAACGCAAACTAATCCGCTATTGAAGCCTAGTGCAACGGCCCTCTGCTAGTAACCTCACCCGCATTCGAACGAGAAAATGGCAACCGCAAACAGTGCGACAGCTGCCGGAGCAGCGAAAGACGGGGCGCCGCCAGCCCCAGCCAAGTCTTTATCCGGCATTGTAAAGCAAGTAAGTACTTTGTGGTCACAAGCTCTGTGGGGCCCAGTGGGCAGCTGCCCCCTTGGACATTGGAAAGTGAAATGTATTATCTTTCATTAGCGTGGCAAACGCGGCGGCCCGTCAGGCAGCCGAGTGCAACTTTGTCAAGTGCGAAAGAGACGCGCGTATAGACTCGGTGCGTGTGTGTGACACGTTGCACACGCTCGTCCGAAGAAATGAAAGTTATCGAAGGTGCCAAGCTGGCAGATTTTCTTCGGCGCGGTACGGTGTCTTGGCCTGTGTTGTTCGGACTTGGGCCTCGGGGAGGGGGGGTGGTGTACTTTGTGCCCATGGCACGTCATCAGGATTATGCGCCGGCATTTCGTCCTTCCTATTCCTGCCTTTAACTCATTAATAGGACTGTCGAGACTTGCTAGTGCGCGAACGGCGTTCGTCTCTAACCTCATCGCTACAGACGCCTTCCAAAAGACATCTTGAGGCCTCTGCTCTTATTTATGAATGTAATTTGTTTGGGACAACCGCAACTCTGCCTCTTTTTAAATTGCTGTGCATTTTGGTTGCCGTCTGGCCTGGTTCAGTAGCCATTTTCAGTCAGCTCGGTGGACTTTTGTCCGCCTGTTTGGCTGTGATAACAATTATCAATTGCCGGAAAATGACTGCAAAGTCTTGGCAGAAGCCGGCTTGCTGACGTTGGCAGCCTAGGTACAAATTTTCGGCCAAAGAATTTACTTGCCGTGGCTTTGGCGCCCCCCAAAAAACCTGTTGATCTTTCGTAGGTAAAAGCCGACGCCCTACACCTGCGCCTCAATTGTTTTGCTGTTGGTGAAATTGTAACATAAATAGTGCATTATTTACAAATCTCCGCGCCCCGCCTTTTATACATTTTTTAATCCAAGCATTGCCCACGCCCGCTCGCAGGTATGCTGGCAGCAACAGATCCTTAAACCGGTTTGGATGTAGGCCTCTTTGAGTATTGCATATCTACCAAATTCCATTTGTCTATCTGAACAAATCGGATGACCGGTGTCTACATATCTATGCATCCCGTTCCTATACAATGTAGCGCAGGCGCTATTCTATATTATATGTAGTAACCGGCATGTGTCTTTATTTAATTATATGGATAGCCTTCGCTTTTAAACATGTTTATTTATTTATTATTTTTTTGTTTTTTTTTTTAATTTTAACGTAAATTTTTATATACTTTCCGCTTAGAAATCGATAGTGCTATTCGTAGAGGCGATAGTTACACATTGCTATTGTACCATCTCTAGCCAATCCACACGTGCATTTTCTTTTAACCTCACTCTACACCAGATTGATAACCTCTCGCACTTTGCAGGTTCTCTCCGGCGACACTGTAGTCATCCGAGCAACCAAGGGTGCGCCGCCTCCGGAGAAACAAATTACCTTCTCCCATGTTCTGGCCCCCAAGTTGGCCCGCCGTCCTGGCGCTGGCGGTGACGAGACTAAGGACGAGCCCTGGGCCTGGGAGTCGCGTGAGTTCCTGCGCAAGAAGTTGATCGGCGTTGAAGTGACCTTCACGTTTGACAAACCCGCCAACTCAAACCGGGAGTACGGCTTCGTTTGGATCGGCAAGGACAAGGAGTCTGGCGAAAATGTAGTCGAGTCGATTGTGCGAGAGGGTTTGGTGTCGGTACGTCGCGAGGGTCGACCGACCGCTGAACAGCAAACCTTGATCGAGTTGGAGGACCAGGCACGAGCTGCTGGCCGCGGCAAGTGGGCGTCCAACACGAGTCCTGCCGAAAAGGTTCGCAACATCAAGTGGGCTCACGAGAATCCCGCCCATTTGGTGGACATCTACGGAGGAAAGCCCGTCAAGGCCATCATCGAGCACGTTCGTGATGGTTCTACCGTTCGTGCATTCCTGCTACCCGACTTCCACTACATCACGCTGATGATTTCGGGCATTCGGTGCCCTGGTGTTAAGTTGGATGCTGACGGCAAGCCCGACCTTAGTGTGAAGGTGCCTTTTGCGGACGAAGCTCGGTACTATGTGGAGACTCGCCTGCTGCAGCGCGATGTGGAAATCCGGCTGGAATCGGTAAACAACTCGAACTTCATTGGTTCAATTTTGTACCCGAAAGGCAACATTGCGGAGTCGCTTCTGCGCGAGGGTCTTGCCAAGTGTGTGGACTGGTCAATGGCAGTTATGAAGACGGGTGAGTTTGAAATATTGTAAGTCAAACTAAGCCCGCAACTCGTTTGCACAGCACAGCACCGAATTGGTAACTTACCTTTTGTTGTGCTGTTCACTGTTTGCAATCGGTTGCTAAATTAAAGACGGACTCCAAGAATGCTGCGACATATATTAATGGTTGTTGCGTTCATTTCACCCCGTCGACACTGCATATTCTACAATTAGTCATAAATTAATTTGAATTTTAACTTAACTAATACATTTCTTTTCTTTGCAGGCGCCGATAAACTGCGTGCTGCCGAGCGCATTGCCAAGGAGAAACGCATCCGCCAATGGCAAGACTATCAAGCAAAAACACCTGCTTTCAACTCGAAGGAAAAGGACTTTACCGGCACCGTCGTTGAGGTCTTCAACGGAGACGCTGTCAACGTAAGACTTCCGAACGGTCAGGTGAAGAAGGTATTCTTTTCATCGATAAGGCCACCGCGTGACCAAAGGGCAGTGGTTGGAACCGACGGTGAGGAAATAGTTAAGGCCCCGCCTCGCGGAAAGAACTACCGGCCACTCTATGAGATTCCGCACATGTTCGATGCCCGCGAGTTTCTGCGCAAGAAGCTTATTAACAAGAAGGTTCAGTGCAATCTGGATTACATCTCACCGCCTCGCGAGAACTTCCCTGAGAAGTACTGCTACACTGTGCTGATTGGCGGTCAGAATGTGGCCGAGGCTATGGTGGCCAAGGGCTTGGCAACCTGTGTGCGCTACCGCCAAGACGACGATCAGAGATCTTCCGCTTATGATCAACTCATTGCTGCCGAACAGCAAGCTATTAAGGGTCTGAAGGGCTTGCACGCAAAGAAAGACAATGCCACGCTGCGCGTAAACGATCTGACTGTTGACCATTCCCGAATTAAGGTCCAATACTTGCCTTCATGGCAGCGTGCCCTGAGATCTGAAGCCATTGTTGAATTTGTCGCCAGCGGATCGCGCCTCCGTCTGTTTGTGCCAAAGGACAGCTGCCTGGTCACATTCCTTTTGGCTGGCATTTCGTGTCCGCGGTCTTCCCGACCGGCGCTAAATGGAGTACCTGCCCAAGAAGGGGAACCGTTTGGCGACGAGGCCCTGACCTTTACGCGGGAACGTGTCTTACAACGCGATGTCTCTGTGCATATCGATACCACGGACAAGGCTGGATCTTCAGTGATTGGTTGGCTATGGACGGACACCGGTGCCAATCTGTCGGTGGCCCTTGTGGAAGAAGGTTTAGCGGAAGTCCACTTCAGCGCCGAGAAGTCTGAGTACTTCCGCGTATTGAAGAGTGCTGAAGACCGTGCCAAGGCCGCCAAGAAGAACATTTGGGCCAACTATGTAGAACAAGTGCCTGAGGAGAAAACTGTTGTTGAGGAGGAGAAGGAGGACAAGGTGGTAGTGGAGCGCAAAGTCAACTACGAAAACGTGATTGTCACTGAGATTACCGAAAATCTGACATTCTTTGCGCAGTCTGTGGAGAGCGGATCTAAGCTGGAAACTCTAATGAGCAAGCTTCACGCCGACTTCCAGTCCAATCCTCCCATCGCTGGATCATACACGCCCAAGCGCGGCGACCTCGTAGCCGCCCAGTTTACTCTTGATAATCAATGGTACCGCGCCAAGGTGGAGCGAATCCAAGGCAACAACGCCACCGTCCTGTACATTGATTATGGCAACAAAGAAGTAAGTGTATACAAGAGATGTAGTCGTAGTACATTCCGCAAGCTCCTTAGATCCGTTTCCGGCTTGAAGTGAAACGCATGAGTCATAAGCTTGCTATACCAAATATATGCTTCTCGTGTCACTGCCATGTATAGCATGAGGGCGTAGCCCAAACCCTTCAGCTGCGACAAATGTGTTCTGTCCGAACTGTATGGTATTGCCTTCGAACGTACAGAGGACGCCCCATATTTTTTGGGGCAACCAACGTCAATAGAAGCAGCTTTACTTACGTGTGAGGAGGGAGCGCAGAGTAACTGGGGGCGTCCAACTCATGCTTTCACAAATGTCCTCGAGTAGCAACACACCCACACTAGCCACACAAATAATTTTCAATTGAAATTCTTTAGATAGTCTGATATATTTTCTTATTTTTCAGACTCTGCCAACTAGCCGCTTGGCCGCATTGCCCCCAGCCTTCAGCAGCGAGAAACCGTACGCCACTGAGTACGCGCTGGCCTTAGTCGCCCTGCCAACAGACAACGAAGACAAAGAAGAGGCTCTGCGTGCCTTCTCCGAGGACGTCTTGAACCACAAGGTTCAACTCAACGTGGAGTTAAAGGTGGTTGGGTCGCCAAACCTGGCCACGCTACATGATCCAACCACCAAGGTCGACTTTGGAAAGCAACTTGTCGCCGAGGGCCTGGTACTGGCCGAAAAGCGTCGTGAGCGCAAGCTCAAGGACCTTGTTGACCAGTACAGAGTCGCCCAGGAGGCAGCACTTGCGGCGCATTTGGCCATCTGGAAGTACGGCGATATTACACAGGATGATGCGCCCGAATTCCGCTAAAAGATGACAAGAGTAGGCCTGTGGCGTGGAGCGCGTTGCTAGCCGAAATGTTTGTCTGCCACATACCCGCCCTTTATATACATAACAAGAAGCAACAACTTAAAGAATATGAAATTACTAATTCTATCTATACACACCAATATATATGATGCATATACCACATTGGAAATCATACATACGTCTGAGCATGGCATGGAAGATCACAATGCAGTACACTTTGTATGCTTTAAGCAGCTCGCAAATTATTACGAACTACTTGGGTTATATTTTTTTCAATAATGATCATGATCCTTTAAATAAATATTTGACACAACCTAGCAGCAATTCGACCTTTTGAAAGCGCCTACCCTCCCCATAAACAATAATTATAACGGATGCGACGAGAAAAATGTGTAAACCTCAAAATGTCTCTTAAATTTGCAGATTTATGTTATTGTAAACTGTTTTTGCATTACGAGTAAATACAATTAAATAATTTTTTATAAAACCGAGTATGTTTAATTTACTAGCCTTGTTATCAAATTGCTTCCAATGACTATCGGATACGGATTATTCCCTACCCAGTCTTCAGATATTTGAAAAATTAAAATCGTTTATTTTCAACGCTCCACAGTTTAAATATCTCACGCACAACAGATGACCGACTATCGATGACAGTGCAATCGACTACGGCTGGGCTATCGATATCAGCGCAATGCGTCCTTGCGCCGAGACAGTTATCAGAATTTTCGCTAGGCACATCATAAAATCGATTTGTACTGCTACTTTTTCTTTGTTTACTTTCCTTGTGCAAATTCGTGATAGGTGTTTGATAAATATATAAATATTGATCCTATTAGGGACTGCGGGAGCTGTCGGTCTATTGGTTTGCGTCGGCAAAATGTGAATTAACATGAGTGGCGAATCGATCGATTTTGAGAGCGAAGTGGGAAAGCAGCGGTGTCTCAGCTCGGCCGTGTATGAGTGTGTGTGTAAACTGCGCCCAACTAAAAGTTAAAGGGAAAAGGAAAATCAAATTGTAAAGCCACTTCCAACTTTTCGATCATGGAGCATCCTTCCTCGTTACCCGGCTACATTCGCGAGAAGCTCGCCGAATTGGATTTGGAGCTGTCGGAAGGTATACCCATTTTTCCGTGTTCTCAAAATAAATTTGTAAAATGAAATTTCGTAAGTTTGGTGGAAAGATGGCCTAGCCTGTGTATAAACCTTAAAAATTGAATTGATAAATCTATCATTAAGTTGCATGTGTCTAGGGCCAAACACATTGATACAAATTATGAGATACTCATGTTCCTAGCTTTTCTTTTGCAAAAGCCTCCCCACACAGACACACCAATTAAAAGAAAATTGTGGGGGCAAGTAATCGTAAGTGCGTTTAATTGTGTAGCTATTTAAGCTCAAATAACAAACTCCGCCGCCACTATATTCATTTACTGAGACGAAGCTGCTAAAAAAACCAAATACTTTGTTTTTATTTTAAGGCGACATCACGCAGAAGGGCTATGAAAAGAAGCGTGCGAAGCTCTTGCAGCCGTTCCTTAAAAAGCATGAAGGTATGTGAGCTTTTAAACCATTTGTATTTCCTTTTCCGAACGCTCATTCTCTGCCTACATCCATGGACAGTCGAGAAGGCGAAGAGTACGCCGCCACCGCCATATTACAACGTTAAAGATGCCAACAACAGCCACGGTCACGGAAACATCAACAACGACGGAGTTGTAGTCTCCAGCGAAGGCTATAGCTATGTGACCGAAGTACCGTCTCTATCATCCTCACAGCAAAGACATTCCAAAAAGATTGACCATCACCAGTCGTCCTCCAACTCTTCTTCGGCGGCTCAGGGTGGAAATGTTGGTGGGACTCCCGGCTATGAAAACATGCGCCCACAAGGCGGTGCAGTCGGTGATCCCGGATATCAAAACACTCGCGAGCCTAGTGGATTCCAAAATCAGGCCCTGTCATCGACCAATAACAGTCAGCATCGGCAACGACGCACACAGCGGAAAGTAACGCACAATGAAAAACGCTATCATTCGGGTAAATAGGAGTTAAAAGTCAATGATCATTTACTGAAGTTTTCCTTTCATTCGCAGAGGTACGACAGGAGGCTGTACAGCAGGCCCTCGCAGCTCTCAAAGGTCGACCAAAACCCAGCCTCCCCATGCCTTCAAAACGCACATCTGTACTCAACCGAAGCCCCGGGTGCAATGATGAGCTGGACTCATCGACAGATGACGAGTCCATACCCGAGGAAACCATTTCCCCCGACAAGGAGTACAACTACCCACGTGACCATATAAGCAACAGCATTCTTCCGCCCGAGCCTATTATAAAGCCACCAATTCGTGAATCATCGATGAGCTCACAGCAGCATACGAGACTTGAGGCAAAGCAGACCCAAGCGCCAAGTCAGAAGTACACATCATCGAATAGTGCCCCAGAGAGACGGCCACCGCAAAACTTGCCGCCACTTGTGAGTACCTATTTTTAGTTGTTAGGAAAATTGCAAAGGCAAAACCAAAGCAACGATATGTTGTATGCCGGATTCTAGTACTAGATAAGTGTTGTTACTTGTTTTCCCATTTAATAAAAGTTTATTTTGTGCAGCCTACATCTGACACTTCAAACACGGACTCCCCTCCCATTGCATATAAGCGAGAGAATGACTTTTCTGACAAAGTGTTCAAGCAGAAGCACTGTAAGTAATTGAACACACAATACAATCCGACCCGCTGCTGGACCCAGCGCAAATGGAGTTGATTAGCAAAGTTTAGTGCTCGCACTTGTTTACGAATGCCTGTGCAAAGTGCAAAAAGGGGTCTCGCACAATCAAATAAACTTAACTGCAATATTGTATATTTGAGTGTGGTTAAACTGCAAATGTAATGCATTAATTATTCCTCTTTCTTCAGACAACGCTCCTGACATAACACAGTTCAACAACGCCCATCGTGCCGCAGACCGGGTTACACGATATGTGAACGTATCTCAAAATGAACTGAGCGAAACAGATGCCAATGGAAAGTGGAAGGTGTCGGCGAAAATTCAACAACTCCTTAACACTCTTAAGAGACCAAAGCGAAGACCTCTGCCCGAGTTCTACGAAGACAACGACATTGAGCTTGAGATTGCTGCCAACACCAAGGACCCAAATGCTCCGAAGCCGGAAGGCAGCACAATGACTCCAGTACAGGGCGAGCAACTGTCCATTCCGGCCGGACTTCCGCGATCATTGGAATGCGCACTTCAACGCTATGGCACAAATTCCTTTAAAAGTCCCATGGCTACGGTCCTTGATCCTAATGGGAAAATTACAACCACCTTGACCTACGGCAAGCTGCTGTCAAGAGCACAAAAAATTGCATACGCTCTATCCACAAAAATATTCAGCAAGGGTCCGGAGCAAGTAACCCTCAAGCCGGGCGATCGAGTGGCTTTGGTTTATCCTAACAATGATCCTTTAAGGTCGGTAAAAACGCCAAGTTCATAGAAAAGACAAAACTAATTTCCAATCACTTTCAGTTTTATTACTGCCTGGTACGGTTGCATGTTTCGGGGCTTGGTGCCCCTGCCAATAGAGCTGCCGCTTTCTAGCTCGGATACACCACCCCAGCAGGTGGGATTCTTATTAAGCTCTTGCGGCATAACTGTGGCACTAACCTCAGAGGCATGCCTAAAAGGTCTTCCGAAATCCACGACTACCGGTGAAATAGCTAAATTAAAGGGTTGGCCCCGGTTGCAATGGTTTGTAACTGAGCATTTACCCAAGCCGCCCAAGGAATTTAATGTGGGCAATTTACGAGTAGATGACTCGGCCGCAGCTTATATAGAATATACGACTGATAAGGAAGGCAGTGTTATGGGTAGGTAAAAAGTTGCTTTTATCTTAAACTGCTGTACAAATGATTTCTATTTGCCAGGAGTCACTGTTACGCGTGTGTCCATGATTAACCATTGCCGTGCTCTAACTATGGCCTGCCACTACACAGAGGGAGAGACCATTGTCTGTGTTTTGGATTTTAAGCGTGAAGTTGGACTATGGCATGCAGTTTTGACTTCAGTTCTGAACGGTATGCACGTCATTTTCATACCCTATGCCTTGATGAAGTTGCGCCCCTCCAGCTGGATGCAGTTAATTACCAAACATCGGGCTTCTTGCTGCTTGGTTAAGAGTCGTGACTTGCATTGGGGCTTGCTAGCTACAAAAGACCATAAGGATATCTCGCTTTCATCATTACGAATGTTATTGGTGGCCGATGGTGCCAACCCCTGGTCGCTTTCATCTTGTGACCAGTTCTTAAGTGTTTTTCAAGCGAAAGGATTACGCTCAGACGCAATCTGTCCATGTGCAAGCAGCTCTGAAGTGTTTACAGTTTCTCTTCGTCGCCCTGGTCGAGGATCCTGTGGTTTCAGCCCGTCTGCCACAGGACGCGGTGTGCTGTCCATGGCAGCACTTTCTCATGGTGTGGTGAGAGTGGACAGTGAGGATTCACTCACGTCGCTAACCCTGCAGGACTGCGGTCAGGTTATGCCTGCTGCACAAATGGTAGTTGTGCGGTCCGAAGGAGCTCCGGTGCTTTGCAAGACCGACCAAGTTGGCGAAATATGCGTTACCAGTGGCTCCACGAGCGCCAGCTACTTTGGTCTCGATGGCATGACAAATTCCACGTTCAAAGTTCAACCTTTAATTGAGGAATTCGAATCACCGAAAGATGGAAATGGCACGGTGAATGTGATTTCTAAACCGATTGGCGAAGAATATTACGTGCGGTCGGGACTTCTTGGATTTCTGGGACCTGGAGGCTTGGTCTTCGTTTGTGGCTCCCGCGATGGCCTGATGACGGTTACTGGTCGAAAGCATAATGCGGACGACATCATTGCCACAGTATTAGCGGTAGAACCAATGCGCTTTATTTACCGAGGACGGATAGCCGTGTTTAGTATTAAAGTACTTCGCGACGAGCGCGTGTGTGTTATCGCAGAACAGCGTCCCGATTGCTCTGAGGAGGAGAGTTTCCAATGGATGTCGCGCGTTCTTCAGGCCGTCGATTCCATCCATCAAGTTGGCATTTATTGTCTGGCATTAGTGCCCCCAATCATTTGCCCAAGACTCCGCTCGGAGGCATACACTTGTGTGAGGCGAGACGCAGGTTCCTGGAGGGATCCCTTCACCCAGCGAATGTGCTGATGTGCCCCCACACATGTGTTACAAATCTGCCAAAGCCACGGGAGTTGCATCAAGGTGAGTTCCTCGCTCTTTTCATTAAATTGTATGTGTTTTAATAATTGGCTCTGTTGGACTTTCTATGCTTTCGTTAACTTATTAAAATACAAATATTGCTTTCCTCTATTTTTAACCACCAACAACACTACAACAATGCTGCGATTACCTCTATGACCACAACCACACTCACCGCAAAAACAATAAATAACGACACTGTATAATATCGACAAAACACAATGAAAACATAACTAATAATTGCTTAAATTAATCATTTTCGTAATGAACCCCTGTAAAAATCGACAAATCATTCGACTACTACTAACTAACCATCCCCAAAAACCAAAAAAAGGTGTGCAAACTGCCGCAAAATTAAGCTCATCATCTGGATGTGGTATTACAGACACGGGTGTAGGACCAGCCTCCGTGATGGTTGGCAATTTAGTGCAGGGTAATCGTCTGGCCGAAGCCCACGGAAGAGACGTTGGATTGGCCGAGGATTGTGAGCGTAAGGTTGGTAAAATCTTTGAACCAAGAAAGACAGCGTTTTGAACTTTAAATTCTCCCATATGCACACAGCCTCAACTTATAACGGGAGTACTGCGTTGGCGTGCAAACACCTCTCCGGATCACATAATTTTCACGCTGCTTAATTCCAAGGGTAAGCTTGTGTCCCCCAACGAATGTTTCGCCAAATTCCGGACTTGTCTTTTCTTTTAGGTGCCATTGCTAAAACTCTAACATGCTCCGAGTTGCACAAGCGCGCAGAGAAGATAGCGGCGCTGTTGCAAGAAAGAGGAAGAATTGAGGCCGGCGATCATGTTGGTAAGGGTCTGAGTCCGAATCCGAATCTGAGAATTATGTGGTAAATTAAACCCCACCCTTTTTTTCAGCGCTTATCTTTCCACCAGGGCTGGACTTATTGTGTGCGTTCTACGGATGCTTGTACTTGGGAGCAATACCAATTACCATTAGACCCCCTCATCCGCAAAATTTGAATACTACATTACCTACTGTTCGCATGATTGTTGATGTCTCAAAGAGCGGCATCGTGCTCTCCATTCAACCAATTATTAAGTTACTAAAATCACGAGAAGCGGCCACATCGATTGACCCGAAAACATGGCCACCTATTTTAGATATAGATGACAATCCAAAACGCAAATATGCTGGTATTGCCACCGTTTCCTTTGACTCGAGCGCCTATTTGGACTTCAGTGTGTCAACTTGTGGACGTCTCAGTGGTGTCAATATAACGCATCGGTAAGGACTTATGGACTTCAAAGAAAATGCATTTCCCCACTAACATGTATTTCCCAATCCAACAGATCTCTCTCTAGTCTGTGCGCCAGTTTAAAATTGGCCTGTGAACTGTATCCCTCTCGTCACGTTGCGTTATGTTTGGATCCCTACTGTGGCCTTGGCTTTGTTATGTGGACTCTCATAGGCGTTTACAGTGGCCACCACTCAATACTTATCGCGCCCTACGAAGTTGAAGCTAATCCCAGCCTTTGGCTGTCAACACTCTCACAGCATCGTGTTCGAGACACTTTCTGCTCATACGGCGTAATTGAACTATGCACCAAAGCGCTAAGCAACTCCATACCTTCTCTGAAGCAGCGAAACATTGACTTGCGTTGCGTACGAACGTGTGTTGTGGTTGCGGAGGAGCGCCCCAGAGTGCAGTTGACTCAGCAATTCTGTAAGCTGTTTCAAGCTCTAGGCCTAAACACCCGCTGTGTCTCGACCTCATTCGGATGTCGGGTGAATCCAGCCATTTGTGTGCAAGGAGCTAGCTCTGCTGAAAGTGCCCAGGTGTACGTGGATATGAGGGCACTGCGAAACAATCGTGTGGCTCTGGTGGAGCGTGGTGCGCCAAATTCTCTGTGCGTAATCGAATCGGGTAAACTGCTACCAGGCGTGAAGGTCATAATTGCTAATCCCGATACCAAGGGTCACTGTGGAGACTCACATTTGGGTGAAATTTGGGTAATCATTATCGAAACTTATCCATAACTGATGGCCACATCTAATGTACTATCTTTTCTCTCAGGTTCAAGCACCTCATAATGCAAACGGATACTTTACAATTTATGGAGACGAAACTGATTACAATGACCACTTTAACGCCAAACTAGTGACTGGGGCTACTTCTGAGCTTTATGCACGTACCGGATATTTGGGATTCTTGCGCCGCACCGAATGCTCACAAGCAGCCTCGTTACTGGACGAGACCACACCAAGTGTGGCTAGTCGGGATAGTGATACTGAGTCCCTGAATTCCATAAGCCAACTACAATTAAACTTCTCAAATGCTTCGTTGGGCGGAAACTCGGAGCAGAGCCTAATAGGCGGTGCAGGAAATCCAAATGATCAAGAATTGCACGATGCAGTGTACGTGGTCGGAGCAGTCGATGAAGTGATCTCTTTGCGTGGAATGAACTATCATCCAATTGATATCGAGAATTCCGTGATGCGATGCCACAAAAAAATTGCAGAGTGGTAAGTAAAGAATATCATTTGCTTCCAATGGCAAACATTATTAAACCTTTTCTTTTTGCAGCGCCGTTTTCACATGGACTAATTTGTTAGTGGTAGTTGTCGAGTTGGATGGCAATGAATCGGAAGCTTTGGACTTGGTTCCCTTGGTCACAAACACAGTATTAGAAGATCATCAGCTAATTGTAGGCGTTGTTGTCGTTGTTGATCCAGGTTTGTATTATTGCCAAAAATTGTATCAAGCGTATCAATGGCTTGCAAATGTGTTTTTGATAAACATTTGGTTTCCAGGTGTGGTGCCTATTAATAGTCGTGGCGAAAAGCAACGGATGCATTTACGGGACGGCTTTCTGGCTGACCAGTTGGATCCCATATACGTAGCATATAACATGTAAATACACAATTATTCTTATGATTGAATCGCCAGTACGTAAAGGAAACGTAAGCAACCCCGATTTATCCCTATCATGTTTAAACAAAACATTCGCAATTCACTAACACAATATCCACATAAAACGGCTCATTTCGGCTTGGATCGCCCAAAATAATTGCACATTTCCTTTAAGAATATTAGCATAGTAGCATAGATGGTAAACAATTCTTACAATAAATGGACTATTTAACTTTATATGACCATATAAGACATATAAGAAACATTTAATATTTATTTACAAATATAAATAAACGATTTGTATGCATATTTATGTGTTGTCTGGCCGTAATCTTTTTTATGCATACGTCAATAAGCAATTAATTCATAAAATTAGGAATACATAGGGGATTCTGCGATCTTTATCTTGAACATCTTATCGTTAACATTTCATATTCATCTACCCCCTTTTTGGGTATACGAATCGCATACGAAAACGTTGGCAACGGTTATTTTAATGTGTATATTATCTTAGAGCTATGTAGGACTATTACTTTTACTTAGTGTTTGCAACTCGGTGCCACCGATATTATGTGAGCCCCGGTCATACCACCACCGTAAAATAATGGTGCGGCGCCTGCGCACAACAAGAAAAATAAGCAATACCCAAACTCCCTGGAGGCCATTCACCATGTCGCAGAGTAGCAGGTAATTCGATTTTGAGCCTGAGTAAAACGTAACTATTTCGAGAAGCCAACTTATCACCATAATTATTCCAAGAAGACAGACGCATTTGGCACTGTTTGACAGGAAATCAAAGTTATTTCGATTTGGGGAATGATAAAGCCACCATTGTACTCACTCCTTTTTAACATCTTCGTATTTCTGCTGATCGAACCTCTCATTGTTCCGGCAAAGATCACTCTCTTCGCCGTTAGCCTTGGCATATCCGTTGATGCGTTGGAAACCGAAGAATGATATGATGTTGATCTGGGGCACACACGATACGCTGATTAGTTCTATTTACGTTTTTAGCCAAGATAAACTTACCAGGAAGCTTAAGAACAACACGGTGGACACTGGAGGTATGAAGTAACGCTGAGAGTCACGTATAGATTCCGTAAGACCCTGTAGGAAGTATGACGGCATTCCCGGCAACCCCTTTTGGACTGTCATGGCCACGATGGTGGCCGGTCCGGTGAAGGCCAAAATACAATAGCACGCGAAGTTAAAAGCTGCCCAGAGCTTTGTCAGCTGGATGCAGCAAGGCAACTTATACCACACATTCAGAAGAACGTTAAAGCATATACATAAATACCAAAAGAAATAGCTCAAAATGAAGAACTGTATGACATAGCCAATGAATCCAGTATTTGATATTCCGTAAATGTGCACGACTGAGTGCACAAAGTATCCAGAGGCCAGGCACAAGGACATCAAACTCAGTGAGAGGCCATGCAGATTCCGCAAAAGACGAAGTGTCATGTGGAGGTAGCTGACCAGCAGTAGACACGGCATGGAGATCAGCATTAAAACAGCAACGAAAATTACCTTCAACAGGAAATACTTTATGGGTAAGTATTGATGTATGTTATTAACTAAAACCGTGTTACTCACCTTGGCGAATGCAATTTGCTCTTCGACCTGTGTAACGCATGTGAAGGCAAAAAGATTTCCCGACTTATCAACATCCAGACAGTAATTCTGTTCAACCGTATATGATTCGTTGCCAAACTTGTCAATGATCAACAAGGATCCATCCTGCAGCACGAAGAAGGCGTCCTCTTGATCGTCATATTGAAGGGAGCTAGACTTGAAGTAAAACTTATTTAATTACCCTTCTGGATAGATGATCTATCTTTTCGGATATTGGATAAATCTTAATTGTAATACAGGCGCCAAGAAGTTATTTATATTAATGATTAATAATTAATAACATTCTAATTTTAGCTATGGTCATACCTGTTGCATGGATTGCCAATCTCATAGGACAAAGCAGTCGGAATTTCCAGATCCTCGATGCAGTTATCAAACAGAACGGCAGTTATTATAGTCGGTTCGAAGTTCACCACGGCGCTGTCGCACATTGAATCGCTTTGGTTCTCACGATATATGTCCAAATTTTCTCCATGTGGACAGCACTTTCGCAAGCGTGACGTGTCCTTTGCTATGGGCTGTATCCTGTATTTTTCACGCTGCGAACAATCGGCGGGTTCGGATCCCTTTTGAGAAGATACTTCAACGGCTGGAAACTTATTGGTTCCTGTTGTCACAGCCTGCTCTGTTGAGGAGCTTCCGTATACAATAGTAGTAGAAATCGTGGCATCAAAAATCTCATGGGACGTCGGACTAAGTGTTCCGTTCAGATTTATACTGCAATGCCGCGAAAAAAAATAAAGCGACTATAATTGTTTATAAATGTTCTTACCTTGACGCAACTAAATCGTTCAAATCGACAGATCCATTGGAGGCTCTTGCAGCGGCTCTTGAGTAGCTGCATATCGCAATTAAACTTATTAGCGTTAAGATGATTCTCCAGTACCATAAATTCATTTTCCTTATCTAGATCTACACTAAAAATTAATTAATACTGGGTGAATATATGGCATAATAATATAAAATTAAATTAAGTCGTCGAAACCATGAAACACAATATTTAAGCCCGTAAATGGGTTCATTTATTGAGTACTGCATAGTCTATGAGACGGGTATGTAAACAATCATTATGTGTGTGTGCTAGTCGTTAAAACAATGAGATATGCATTTATCTTATCTGTAAAAATCCAGGCAGGTGAGAGCTTTCCTCTCTTCATTTCGCCGTATCAATATCAAGCACATGACGTCAGAATTATGTGTAAGCGCACTGTTAGCAGGTTGTTTCCCACGTTCTTTTAAACTGAATCAATTTCTGGGAAATACATATATCATTCACGAACCTGCAAAAGTCTGTACGATAGGACGAAACTTAATACAAATGCACTAGTTAAACTCCGGCCAGAGACGTCTTAGGGAAAAATAAAACTTTTTAAAATGGACTTTGGTGTATTAAAAACCCGATTACATGCTGAATGGAGTTTATGCATAAGAGGAATTTGATGAAAATGATTTGTTAATTCACTGGTAAAACTTATTTATTAGGAATGCAACCGCTGAGGTTGATTAATAAATTAATACTAGCGAATAAACAGTCCGCATTCTACCATTGTATCGGTCTGTTGGTGTAGCTGATAAGATAGCAATGTGTACAGGGCTACAAAATCAGGAATTTCTCTGAAACAGCTTGCCTACAAGGCAATGCCTTATAAATTTTTAAAATTTCCTTAAAGATGTACTAATTTTGCTGAGCCGTTTGTCAGCTGTTTCATTAATTACACTCTTAAAAAATGTTGCCCAAAATATAAATAAAGATAGAAATTTGAAGCACGTAACGATGCTACATTAAAACACCAAGGGATAGGGAAAGCGACAGCAGCACGTAAATCTGCAGAGAAACCACCTTATCCATTCCTGAATTTAAATCACAACGGCCTAGCGGCAAAATTTAAATTATGATTTAATAATAATATCGATATCAACGATGCCGATATGTCGTAGCAACCATTAAAAAGTTCGTGCATAACCCGACAGATGTCGCTTGCGGCACCGAGAAATGAAAAAGTCGCTGTGATTGGCCGACGACTGTACACAGTTATGTTCAGTGCTAGAGATGGCAAACTAGTGTCGTTGGTGAACCCCTATGTTCGATTGTTTTTAATATAGTTTAATTTCATTTTCTATCAAACAACGCGTCTTTGAAGGTTAACTTCGGTTTTATATATTATGTATATATGTCCACAAATTATAGAAAAGAGAGAGCAATACTTAAACAAAAAGAATAGCAGTGTTTAAAGATTTTTAAAACATCGATGTATCGATGATCCGTCCATGATACTTCCATCTCTGATCTAAAATGTTAGGTAAAAGGCTGCTCGCTCTAGAAGATAGTTAAAAATACTTAATATTGGTGTGTTAAAAACTCGTCAATTGTTTCTCAATATGCAGGGTAATAATGCGTGTAGTGATAACTTGTGTTGTTTTTGAAAGAAAACCGACTGTTTTCGCGTACGGAAAAATTTTCACAGTTCTTTAAATGGCGGACAATGTGCGTTGGCTTCATTTCCTCGCACACATACATACAGGCATTCTGTACTGTACAAAATCAGACTTCTTTTAATATATTAAATCGGATAGTTCCTTAATAGAACGGTGCTTGTTTTGGCGGGTTTTTTGCTATACCAAATATCTAGTAGTTTATGTGAAGTGAAGTCCCCGAAAAAATGAATAGCGAGCAATTAGCCATTGTGAATCTGATCGATTTTTTCCCTGTATGTGCCACCGAGTAAATGTGTGTTTGAGTGTGTCCGTAAATGGCTGGTGGCAGTGAGAAGCGGTCCGCAAGCAGAAGCAATTTGAACTAAACTGTTTAATTCTTGTTCCAGATCAAATGTGCAGCTCCGAAGTGATAAAACGGAACCGTCTCTGAATTCAGCCGCACACACGCGTAAGAAACAGGAAGCCAAATCAGAATTACCAGCCTAAACAGCGGAAACAAAATCGAAATGAGCGGCCGGGGTAGCCGTAAACGTGGTCGGCCGCCAAAGACGCCGAACGAGCGGGCATCAGGACGATTCAGTTACCAACTGCTGAAGAAGCCAAAATATCTTAGTGAGGGTAAGTCGCAGCCCAGCACTCCGTCAGCCTCCAGGGGCATTTCCCCGCAGAGCGACGAGGGCAGCCGGAGCAGCCACAACAATCACAACCGCAGCAGTCGAGGTAGCGCCGCAAAGAGGGGACGCGGACGCAAGTCAACTGTGCAACCCAATACAAGCAGTTACGCCGGCAGGAAAGGTAATTGTTGTTACTTATTGTTGTTTTTACTTATCATTTAAGAGTGCATTCAGAGACAAGGTTTTAATATACCGTCTCCTGTAGCAGTTTAGTGCTATCAAAAATATCCGAAAATTTGGGAAAAATTGGTTTCGGCTGGTCTTGAGATAGCTTAACAAATGGCTTTGAGCGTATTAGCTTTTGTGGGGACCAATATCCTTTTCGTGGTTGCCACATTGGTAGTCCTTATGACAGCAAGTTATTATTATTAAAAATTACACGTATTTATATACATAATTTGGCTCTGCAGAGAGCTTCTTTTCGTGTTTGAAACAAGGGTCACAGAAGGTGTCTTGAATGGGGGTTCTGATAGCACGACAAATAGTGCTGTCATACGTATAAGCCTGATGTCGAAATACGAAAAAAATAGGTGTCACAAAATGGCAGGCTATATTTCATGCAATCGTTTGAGAGGTAAATGTTGAAATAAACATATTTTAATAACTGTCTACGCCTTTTTGTTTATAGGGTACGAGTCAGAATATCACTACGGGTCGGATTTTGGAGATTCCGAAGAAGATAAGTCAGAAAATGAGGATGATATGCTACTCACCCCCAGCGATGACGAAAGCCTGGACGCAGCAAACGAAAGCGAATCCGAATTCTCCGTCTGCAGTTTTAACCAAAACGGATCTGGACGGCCTCCGCGTCCGCCCAGTCCGGAACCCGTATGGCTGCAAGAAGGGCGGCAGTATGCAGCGCTAGAACTACCGGAGTCTTCGGAGGATTTGTCCATAGCTAATGCCCACGTTTTACGCGCCCTCAGTATCTATGAAGTACTTCGGCGTTTTCGCCATTTGGTGCGCTTGTCGCCATTCCGATTTGAAGACTTTGCTGCAGCGCTTGCGTGTGACGAGCAGAGTGCTCTATTGACGGACATTCACATAATGCTGCTGAAGGCGATCCTACGAGAAGAGGACGCGCAGGGCACACATTTCGGTCCGCTGGATCAAAAGGATACTGTTAACATTAGTCTGTATCTGATAGACACTATAACGTGGCCGGAGGTCCTGCGCAGCTACGTAGAAAGTGACAAGACATTTGATCGGAATGTGTATCACATTTTGAGTAGAACAGAATACCCTTACACGGCCATTGACAACCGACTCGAAGTGCTCCAGTTTTTGGCAGACCAATTTTTAACTGCCAATTCCGTACGCGACGTAATGCTCCAGGAGGGGCCGATTCATTACGATGATCATTGCCGCGTATGCCATCGACTCGGAGATTTATTATGCTGTGAAACCTGCCCGGCCGTCTATCACTTGGAATGTGTTGACCCACCAATGAATGACGTGCCAACTGAGGACTGGCAGTGCGGACTTTGTCGATCACATAAAGTCAGTGGTGTAATCGACTGCGTGCTTCCCCAGGAAAAACAGGGAGTCCTGATCCGTCATGACAGTCTGGGTGTTGATCGTCATGGGCGCAGATATTGGTTTGTTGCACGCCGTATTTTCATCGAAGACCAAACGGACTGCAGCTGTTGGTACTACAGTACGACCAGTAAGTTAAAATTGTTGCTCAAACGATTGGATCCCGAAGAACTGGAAACTCGTCTGCATGCCCAGCTGATGGAGCGCAGGGATGAAATTGAGCGCCAAATGAAACTGACTGAGACGCTAACTAATGAGCACAAGCACACCAAGCGAAGTCTGATTGAGATTGAACAAGAGGCTACAATTGAACAAATTGAAAAAGAGGCAGTGGACGCGGTAGCTGAGGAGGGTGATACCAAATCTGAAAGCCAATATGCAGAGGGTACAAAGAAACAGGAGGAAAGCAAAATGGTCACGCGACAGAAGTCGAATCAGTTGAGCAACGGCACGCTTTATTTTAAGCTTGGAATGGAGCAAGGATTCAAAAATTACATCAATCAGTATTCCACAAATCCCATTGCATTAAACAAGCCGCAGCGGAACGAGGAACGGGACAAGCGCCGTCATCTGTCTCACAAGTTCTCGCTAACGACTGCCTCCGACTTCAAATGGATTGGCATTACTATGGGATCAACGGAGAATATGATTACAACACTCAGGCAAACTCTAATCAACTTTGAATCGAATATAGCGGCCCCTTTCCTAAATCCCAACTGGGTGGTTAATAAGAAAGTTTGGAATAATGCTGTCCTGAACGCCCGGCGCGCAACGGATTTTGCGGCTGTATTGTTGCTGTTTCAATCATCCCTAAAGAGCGTTGTTTTCGCCAATGTTTGGCACGAGCAACTGGGCCACACAACTCTACAGCGTATAACCAGTGCCGAACGGGAAGAGCGCAAGAAGTTGGAGAAGCGAGAGAAACGGGAGCGGGATGACGAGGAAGAGCGAAACCGTTTGGCTTTCAACTACATCAAATATTCCCTCGGTCTCAAGCACCAGGTCTGGAAACAAAAAGGTGAAGAATATCGTGTGCATGGACAGTGGGGCTGGCTCTGGCTTTCGAGCAGCCGACGCTGCGGAGTTCGTGCCAGACGAGCTCAACCGATGCTGCATAACAGAGTGTACGTGCATTACACCATGGGCGAAGAAAAGGCCGTCAATGAAATTATATTGGTCGACCCACGAACGCAGCGTTTTATGCAGCAATGTGAGTCAAGCAATGTAGATGGTCAGGTGTGCCATTATTTACCAGAGCAATATACAAATGTAAAAGTAATTGAGGATATTAAAGACAAGGTTAAGGGCTCTATAGATGTCAGTAAAGCCCTCAGTGCTCCAGGCCGAATTTACTACCCTAAAGTGGCTCGAAAATGTCGGTTAGACGATCTATTGGAGCGCCGCATAAAATTGGCCGAGGCCGAGGAGCAAATTGCTGGCAAAGTGGAGATCGATCAGAAGCCACTGCTAACTTCGTATACCCCAAATGCAGCCAATAGCAAGCAAACGTATCTGGAGAAACGTCTACTTCGCCTAACTGAAGTCGCCGCCAAGGGTGGTCCTGCCAACGTAAACCTTGAGCTTGTGAACTCACTTGCTAAACAAATTCAGACGGTGCGCCTACAGTTTAGTCAACTGAATCGTTTCGCAAAGACTTTCCGTTGCTACACAAAGGAATGTAACACAAATTCGAACGCCGTATCTCAAATAACACAAAATACGTGCTACTCGCCGTTGTGCCTCCAGAAAGCGCGGGCTAAGAAGGAACTCCTACTATTGTTGCGAAAGGCTCACACTGCGGGGAATGGCTCGAAGGAGACAGTCGCGGCCATATTGGGAGCTGTTAAGAAACCGTCTATTCTCGAGCAGAAGCTTACAGAGGGCAAAAGGGATTCAACCCAGCTTGCTTCAGATGAATCGGAAGATGGAAAATCTCCAGAATCCGAAGCGCCGCTGGATTTACTCCACGATTGGGAGCAGGCGAGAGCACATGCTGTGCATTTTACAGATGACTATTTAGCCGACTTCTTGATTACGGAACCCGATTCTGCCAACACAAAAATTAAGGACGAAGATAATCCAGACTCAAACACTCAAGATTCTGACAAAATGGACTACATCGAGAGCATGGATGTTTGCAGTAATGTTGAAATCGAGAGCACTGAAGATTCCATAGTAGCTGGATTAACGTCAGCATGTGCTGGTGGTAATGCTGAAGATGTTGACATGACTCCCGGATGGCGGCGAAAACGCAACCAGAAATCTAAAAAGTCGTATATTGGTACAAAAGATGTGTTGGATCAAACTTTGGATAAGGATATACCGCTCAACAAGCAGAATCGAAGGTTTCCCATAACTCCTCGTCCAGTTAAGCGTGAGAGTGTAAAGAAGTATGAAAAGGAGTATTATGAGAATGGAACGGAACGCATATATTCAGCAAATTCTCCTCGGGGTCGGATTTACCTCCTCAATGACACAGCCAAATTGTATGAGCAAGCTGTTAAGATCGAGGACAAAGCAACAATTTCTAAGAAGCCGGCGTATTCGAGGTACCCCCTCATTTCTACTTTCCTTACTCATAAAAAGAAGCGTAGCCTCTTGGTGTTACCTCGTTTCGAGCTTCTTAAGTTGGCACGACTAGGCGGAAAATCCACCGCTAGTGGTTTCCATCATGCTGCTAAAAACAACACTATTTGGCAATACCAATGCTCCCGTCCCCTATTTCGAACATGCTGGTCTTATCGCACGTCCAACGCCACAACTTTGTCCAGCCTAGCTCTGCAGCTGCGAATACTGTGGTCTTGTCTTCGCTGGGACGACATGATAGCGAAGCCACCGTCCGCAGATGGCAAGCATCAGGTAACGACGGAAACTGAGATCGTCACCTTGGAATTGCTAAAACTTCGACATGCTGGCCGGTACGGTGAAAAAACGAGTTATTTACGGCGAAAAGTTGTCATCCCGCTTGAAATGCCAAAGACTATAAGAGGTAAGTGTACCAAGTACAATTTAATTTAGTAATATCATTTCCACTAGTGCACATTTTACTTTAATTAAAAGTTGATTTTACTCTGTATTGGAAATACCAATACATAATTATTAAGGCACTAACATGAAATTAATGTATATTTTCCTTTTTTATCTCACCCAACCTGCAGAAGTAACATCCATAAGGTCCGGACTTCGAAAACGAAAACGCGCTGAGTCCCCTCAGCCAACCGAGCCACAGATTAGCGAGGAATGGGTTGAGGAAGATAAACTAGAACTATGGGAAATCAAATTTATTGGCGAAAAACAGGAAAAGGCACGACTATCAACAGTGACGCGGTCCGTGGCATCCCGTCAAATAGAAGCAAGTGGCAATAATGGTTCAAGCACTTCAAACAATGAAACTCCAAGTGGATCTGGCCGAGTCCAATTGGCGCCGAAGTCGAGCGAAGATGTTAAAGAAAAAATGGAACAACAATTGAAGTTGCAACGCGCTGTTCACCAGCAGCGAAAACTTGTCGGCACTACCGAGGCCACTCGTTCCATAACCCCAGGTAACAAATCAGTTTTTATCAATGAAAAATCAGCCTGAGCTTATATCATCTTATCTTTACAGTCAAAGGACAGGTTATTGGCAGCAGGCGCGTCATTGTGAAGAATCCCGATGGCACAACACGAATTATTCAGCAGGCGGTGACACAGGTTGCTCGCACACCAGCTGGAAATACATCGGCAGCATCTGGTTTCTCTGCTGCAGCTAGCACGTCTAGCACACAATCTACACCATCTACCCCCACTCCACACAAGGTACAGATCATAAGAGGACCAGATGGTAAAGTAAGTGTTCGGGGACTTAACCCTGGACAGCAACTTGTTCAAATGCCAGATGGTAAACTGCATGTACTAACTACCACAAGTACATCATCAAATGCATCGGCACAAGGTAAGTTCATTTATTTGTAATGTTTATTTTGTTTCAATGTAAGTTTAGTTTGAACCCTATAGGTTCTTAAATAACAATTTGATAATAATAATAATAATATCTTATTGTAGGAAACAAGATCAAAATGCCTATTAAGGCTGTGTCGACTCCTTCATCGCCAGCAGTGACATCTACAGCTACTGCCACGACGCCTGGAACTCCTCTAATCAAACAAATCGCAGTTAAGCATGTCACGAAAACGGCTGGAACCCAATCAATGGCTTCATCACAACGAGTCGCTTTACCGCTTGCTCAAATAAAAAATAAACTGTTGCTAGCCCAGCAGCAGCAACAAGCAGCGGCTTCTGCCTCATCTACATCATCGCCGTCCTTACAAAAAACTGTGTCAAAGGTGGTTAACACGTCTGCATCTGGCCAAAACGTGCAACAAGTCTTCGTCCAATCTGGATCTAAATTTGTGGTTGGTCAGAATGCTCAAGGACAAAAGGTTATTATATCTACATCGTCTGCGCAACCACAAGGATCCTCGCCAGTGCAACAGCAGCAACTTGTGCAATCTCAAGTCCTTTCACAACAAATTCAGCAGGCACCCCAGCAGCAATCGCAGCAAATTGCTCTTAATCAGGTCGGAAGTCAACCCACACAAAAGGTTATTCAGCAAATTGTAAACACGAGCAATGTGCAACAGCAGATTGTAGTGGGTGGACAACGCATTATATTGAGCCCTGGTCAAACTATAGTTACTCAACGAAATGTCCCGCAGAGTCAAGCCCTGCAGATGGTGCAGCAGCAGATTCAAACTCAACAGCAGCAACAACAACAGCAGCAGCAGCAGCAACATATCGTTCAGCCACAGCAACAATTTGTTGTTCAAACGAACCAAGTTCTTCAATCCTCACCGAGTACTCAACCGAAGTTGGTTAAACAGCTTGTAGTACAACAACAATCACAGCAGCCGGCTGAGGAGAAGGCTCAGATCAACAGTGCCGAGGCGAATGAATCTGGAATACAACAAGTGCTTGTTCCAAACTCGACCCTAGCTCAACAGTTGGCACAGGGAAAACTGCAGGTTGCCACGGTGAATGGCCAACAAGTTATAGTGAAACCATTGGGAAATAATCAGGCGCAAATCGTGGCACATGTCAAGCACCAAGGCGATGGAAACGCTCACATCGTAACCAATAATTCATCAACAGCAACACAGGCAAGTCCGCAGAGCTCACCAGTCAAACAGCAGCAGGCCGTCCCGTCACAGAGCCCACAGCAAGTGGTTGTCCAGCAACAGCAAATCCAGCAGCAGTCAACCACGAGTTATGAGGGATCCGTAAGCTCATTGCCTTCACAGCAGCCTATTGTATCTCAACCAGTGCAGGGACAAACCCAACAGCAGCCTATGAGTGTCGAAGAAAGTCTCCTTCAAAACCAGCCTCCTGGGACAGTTATAAAGTGTGTTACCGCTCAAGTTTTGCAAACCGAGCACGGTCCCCGCATTGTCTTGCAAGGCCTGGTAGGCAACGACTTCACAGCACAACAATTGCAATTAGTGCAGACACAGGTGAAGCAGCAGCTAATGAAAGGTAAGTAAATGATTTATTTATATTCTTATACAAATAATAATGTAATGTGTTCTCTACTCTATTTTAGCCCAAGAGTCAAACGGAAAGCTCGGAGTTTTGGGGCCAACCAAAATTTACCTGGCCGTACAGCCGGAAACGGCAGTTCAATCGCAACCGCCTCCTCTCACCCCAGTACACCAATCGGCTACCCATCAACAAGTGAGTAGCTTCTAATTGTAAATTTAATGCAGAGCAAAGCAGTAAGGAATATAACGAGACTTGTAGGGCTGCATTTCCTGATTCTCGACCTAAATCGCAATTTATTTGTTCTATATTTATGTTTAAGTTATCTTTAGTTATTCATGAAACCCGAGAGGCATGTTGCTGCTTACTTGCACTTTTTATACGTTTTGTTCGGTTCATATTTGTTTGTTTGTTTTTTAATATATAACTTCTCATTTAATATACTTTAATACGTTTCGTTTCCCAATATGTATACATACATTCCTAGGCGATTATCTCTATAAGAACTAGATATGCTTTTGTATTTTCCCAAGTACAGCAACAAAGACTTTCATTTAAAAATACACACGGCTTAGTATTGCAATAATTATTCAACAGCTGATTCCCCGTGCAGTTAGCTCAATGCCTAGGAATATATTATTTCCATTAACTTACACAAACGACATATTTATTTTATTAAAACTACACGATTGTATTTAGACTAAAAATGTGAATATCTTTTTAATTGTAAGTAACTATTAGATAGTGAGTACAAGCACATTAAGAAAATTAACTGAACAATAATCTAGAATTTCACCTAATGTTATAAGCCAAGGCAAAAGTATTAGACAACGTTGCTGCGAATAAATTTTCTTGCCTGGAGACATTTGGTTTCTAAGTAATACCTAAAATACTTGTAAAATGTAAAGCGCTTTTTGCAATAAAACCTATTATGCAAACCGAAATATTGGGGACCAGCTCTATTTCTTTACTTAAAAAATATACAAATGAACACATTCCTTTGCTAGATAAGTTATCCGTTATTGAATGACGTTATTTAGAAATGTATACGATGGCTTACATTTTCTAAAGAACCTTCTATCCATCCCCTGTAAATGCTATAATTCCACTTTAAAATATTACTCCCACACAGCAGTACTGGAATTAAAAGCAAGAAAGAAATCGATCCAAAGCAAACATTTGGAGGCGTTAGATTGACGATCGTCTTAAGTAGGACAGCGTATAAAATTCGCTTCGCTCAATTATGCATATTTTTAATACCAATCACAAGTTGTATATAACAACTGGCTTAATTCCTTTCTAACTTGCTTTAAATAATTCCAGGAATTTACACAAATACACACACAGTGAGATCTACTTGATTTTACAAATTTAAAGACGTGGTGTGTGTTGCTTGTTCTGGAGAAATATACACATTCTAGCAAATTAAACATCTTGATTGATGTTCCTACTTCCTTGACCTCTAAGCAGACATATGTGAGAGTCTTAGTGAATTTTTGTTTCTGAATTAGTTGGATGATTATTTGCAAATTGGCCTTTGTGTTGACAAAAAGCGCATGCTTCTTTTATAGGTATGAAGCAAACTCTTCAAACGAACAAAACTTGTTAATCAGTGCAAGCATAGCAAGCATAAAACTGAATAGGCCACGAATTTTAATCAGAAATCAGTTGAATTTGAGTGCAAACCAAACGATTAATACAAAAATGGGGCATTACCTCAATGTCCAAATCTATTTACCGTTCCAATTCCAATATGAATTGAAATATTAAATTATTGCAGAGATTAACCACACGCAGAGTTTTAGTTGGCTGACATATTTGAAGTTCTACCAATCGAAGGCACCTCTCGTTCTCTAAAACTTAAAAGACTAAATAAAAAATGGCAAATTAAAAGAAGAAGACCTAAGAACTTTCCACAAACGCATGTGCTAACGTCGCGATTGAATTAGTTTTTATGAAATCCTTCGAAATAAACACAAAGGCTTAACCATTTTTATAATCATCTCATCTAAATCGAAATAAAAATGTACACTTATCCAAAACAAATTTGCTATAACACCCCAAAAATATACACCTCTCATAACTCACCGACATTCCCCCACCATCATTTACATAGCCTTTTTACCTATTTGCCACGATTTACCTTTTATTTTTAAATCCAGTTAAATTTCTATCATATCTCTGTAATACAAATTGTCAATACGTTAAAATAAAATTCATGCTTTCACTGCTTAAAAACGCCTTACCATGCCTAAATGTCGCGTGTCAACAACTACAACTCCTAACTACGTGTTAATCTCTTCGCCACCTACAACTACTACTACCCAACAACAATAACTCAACTCTAATAACACATTAAAAGGTTGCCTGGAGCAAATACTACAACTGATCTCTGATTAAAGTCAGGTAGGTGGTTCTGTCAAAAGCAATTTGCAACACCTTCGCTTACGTTCGTTTACACTTATGCATTGAACCCTTTCCGATGATTGATTACAAAGAATATATCTCAAATTTTATGAAAACCATTAGATTACTGATATCATTTCAAATGCCCATGTGGCGGATGCAAATTATATGTCGTATGACATGCAGGAAGAAGACGAAGAGGAAGACGACGATGATGAAATTATCGTTATCTGCAGTCCTCCGAATCAAGTTTTGCCCCCATTCCAAAATGAAGTAACCAATGGTAGCATTTTGTTAAATGATCCGTGCTGCAACAAAATTAGTCGTAAGCTCATTCAGCAAACAAAGAAAATTAAAAATTGAAAATCTAGTTCTAGTTCAAGATCAAGACAATAACGAACAGCATCGCCTAAAATATGAAAGTGAAGACCTTAAACGATGTTCATTGCAGACCAACATCGACAACGACGCCACTGCGCAAACCACTACTTATGAAGCCAGTCCAACTATTAGAATAAATTCCATAAACAATGGCAATGAGCAGGAGCATAGTAAATGTGCACAAACCGAAAACACTAATATTACAATTAACAAGCCCTCTGTCGGTGCTTCTTCCCTATTAGAGGGCCTAGAGCAAAGCGAACCGTCAAACCATACCGATACTGAGTCACCTACAACAGGCGTGGAGGATAAACAGAGCGAAAGTTTTGTTGTCACAAGCGGTTATATACAGCAGTGTAAGTATGATTAAAACGAAATACTGATATATGGCTAATAATTGTATTGTTTTTTAAGCAATTTCAAATGCCCTTAGGCAGGGTAATTTAAGTCCAGAACTTGAGGAAAAATTGGTTAATATGCAGAAACAACAAGAACAACAAAACGCAAACAGTTCGGACAATTGGGAAAGTGCAAACGACGAAGTACGTACACCAAGTCGCCGGAACATTTTGTCGCGCCAGCAAAACAATGACAACGTTGAATGGAAAGCTCGGACACCTTTAAGGCGCCCAAATGCCATGACTACTTGCAGCCAATTCAATCGTGTCCTCAAAAAAAGCCGTAGGCCGAATGAAGATGTTGAAGAACTCGAAGAGGAAAAACAATCAAAACTAGAACGGCACAAGGAACTGCTCAAGAAAAGTATCTTACGAAAGCGCTCTTTATTAGAACGTAATTTACAAAACGAAATACGAGAAGAGGTACAAACTAAAGTCCAGCGTCATGGACGTCCAATGAGTATTGCATCACCTGAGGAGCAAAGCGAGAACGAACGAAGCTACTCTGATCGTCGTAGGGATTCAGATGTCGACTTTAAACGGTATGTGTTTAAATTGATTCTTGTTTTGCTCAATATTAACGGAGATATATTGCAGATCCGAGCCAAATTCCCACAACAACAGGCATGGTGTAGGCCGGCCTAAGAAGTTGACAAAAAGAAGGGAGAAGCTTTATTGCATCTGCCGTACTCCGTATGATGATACAAAGTATGTAAAAGAATGTATTTAAGCCCAAACCCCAGTTTCTTAACTGTCTTTTGTATGCGTTTAGGTTTTACGTAGGCTGCGACTTATGCAGCAATTGGTTTCATGGCGACTGTGTCAGTATTACGGAAGAAGCATCCAAAAAACTGTCCGAATTTATTTGCGTTGATTGCAAGAAGGCGAGGGAAACTCAGCAGCTTTATTGCAGCTGCCGTCAACCTTACGATGAATCGCAGTTTTATATATGCTGCGATAAATGCCAGGACTGGTTCCATGGCCGTTGCGTTGGAATTTTGCAGAGTGAAGCCGAGTTTATTGATGAGTACGTGTGCCCTGAGTGTCAACGAAAAACAGATGCAAACTCTGCTAATATGAAGACTCTGACTGTGAATGAAATTCAGGAGTTGAAAACTTTAATCAAGCAAATACAGGTAATTTTAATATTACTTAAAATTTTAGCTTAATTTCCCATTTGTTTTATACATTTCTTAACTCAAAAACAGCCATATAACTAATTCTATGTTTCTTCATTTGCATAGCTACACAAAAGTGCTTGGCCATTTATGGAACCGGTTGATCCGGAAGAAGCACCGGACTACTATAAAGTAATTAAGGAGCCAATGGGTAAGTTTGAAAGCTAATTAACATTTACTTGTTGATACAAAAAATGTTTTTCTCCCAGATCTCAAGAAAATGGAAAACAAACTGGAATCAAACGCCTACACAAAACTAGCCGAATTCATAGGCGATATGACAAAAATCTTTGACAACTGCCGGTACTACAACCCAAAGGAATCATCCTTTTACAAGTGTGCTGAAGCGTTAGAATCATATTTTGTGCAAAAGATAAAAACTTTCCGCGAAACTGTGTTTGGTCAGAGTAGTTAAAAAATCTATGCCAGCCCAGGCCGCAGTTTAGTGTGTAAATGTAACATCAAGCAGCAATATACGCCCTTTCATCTTTATTTAATAACAAAAATACATGTTTGATGACATTTGCATTCTATATTAGCGGAAAAAAGTAATTTATCAGTTTTATATCTTAACCTATGTACATAATAGCGGTATAAATTCAGCATATATAAATGCATTTTATATGCAGATGTCATATTTTGGTTACTAGACATTAGAAAGTTTAAGACAATTATGTTAAGTAATCCTTTTGTACAGAAAAGTAAAATGTAAATAAACTGCATTTGTTTCAATATTTATTTAATTGGTTGGCAAACGGTAAAACTATGTTATTTATTTTTTCTGAATAGACTAAAACTTGTTTAATTTAGAAAAACACAAGTTATATCGATTTATTAATGACAACTTCACTAAATTCCATCAAATCATTTTATTTGACATGCGATACTTTTTCACCGACTATCGACAACCGAACATCGATTGCGCATCTAACGAATATTCGATAATTGTAAAAATTCTAATTGCAGCTTCGACTTTGCCCATTTGCACAATTTGTTTTATTCCTAAAAAGGAAGTAAGTACTTAGCTGTAAGTTAGAAGACGTTAACAGTTTTATTACAACAAAACATTGCAATTTCCTTAATCACAGACAGCCATATCCGGTGAGGAAAATCAGATAAGGAACTCGTGTAAAATGTCTGCGGATCGACTGGATGTGATTATTTTTGGAGCCAGCGGATTTACTGGAAAATATACCGTCTTTGAAGCTGTCACCGTGCTCAACGGACTGAAATGGGGCATAGCCGGCAGGAACCGCGGAAAACTAGAATTGGTGCTCAAGGAAATGGGTGATAAGGCTAAGAAGGACCTCTCACAGGTGCCCATTTTCATAGCTGACGTCAACGATGAGGCTTCTCTTCTGGAAATGGCGCGCAGGGCCAAGGTCGTGGTAAACACCGCAGGACCTTATCGTTTCCATGGAGAGAATGTCGTAAGTGCCTGTATCGAATCTGGCACCCACCATGTCGACGTGAGCGGCGAGCCGCAGTACATGGAGACGATGCAATTAAAGTACGACTCGAGGGCCAAGGAGAAAGGAGTGTACGTGGTGAGCGCCTGTGGCTTTGATTCCATTCCTGCAGATATGGGCGTTATCTTTGCGGAGAAGAACTTCGACGGAACCATCAACTCCGTTGAAACCTTTTGGAAAGTGGGGTTAAGGAAGGCGCCAGTGGAGGAGCCAGCTCTGGCTTGAACTATGGAACGTGGGAGAGCGCTGTATATGGCTTGGCTCACTCGGACGAGCTACGTGGCATTCGGCAGCAGCTGTATCCAATGAGATTGCCCAAATTTTTTCCCGTTCTTAAGCCAAGACCATTGGTCTTCCGCTCCACCGAAATCAACAAAGTCTGCCTGCCATTCCCTGGCTCGGACCGATCGGTGGTGATGAGATCACAGCGTTTCCTATACGAACACGATAAAAAAAGGCCCGTCCAGATGCAAGCCTACGTCGGATTCCCTTCTTGGATAGCAGCCGGCGTTGTAATTCTTTTCGCAAGCATCTTTGGACTGATGTCAAAGTTTCAAATTGGTCGTACGCTGCTGCTGAGGTACCCCGGCCTATTTTCTGGAGGACTAGCTTCACGTTCCGGACCTAGTGAGATCTCTATGGAGAACACATATTTCAGGATGACTTTTAAGGCCGTTGGCTGGCCCAAGGGCGATCGATTGGTCGAGAGCTCTGACCAATATACGGAGCCTCCAACAAAGTCTCTAATGGTTAGAGTTTCAGGGATGAATCCCGGATATGGAGCCACCTGTGTGGCACTGCTCTCGACGGCCTTAACTATACTGCGCGAGTCCGACAAAATGCCAAATAATGGCGGCGTTCTTGCCCCAGCTGCTGCTTTCTCTAAAACCAGCCTCATAAGTGAACTAGAAAAGCACGAACATGGCATGAAGTTTGAGATTCTAGCCAATAAGTAACAATGTAAAAATCAAGTAAGGTTTGGTTTGCTCACTATATATTAGCACTAATTAAATTTGCATCTTGGTTTTAGAAGGTCTGGGAACTTTAATTATTATCCTTTCTATACTAACAAATTTAAATATGGACAAGTTTGAAAGCTTGGCCAAAGAATGTGACCATTCCCTTTTTGAATAAATTTATCGAAGGATAAAATAATGCTATCGATATCTTTGCACATCACTAATGAGGTTAATGGCCGCCAAATTGCAGAGAAGCTTGCAAAATTGTGAATGTTAATGTTTTAAAACACATTTCGAGTGGAAAAATTTGACCGATACGTTAGATACGTACTTTGTTGGATGCAGAAACCACACGGTGATAGTGGTGTCCACGAACAGGGCTCGATCGGTTCTCCGGAAAACTGCAGAGCCCGGAGATTCTTGGTGGCACCGAAAGAAGACGGTCGGCGGCACTTACTTCCTCCTGAAGCATTTTATGGACTACAAAAACAAAGGGATCGCGCATATTGATCACGTACCGAGCAGTGGACCTAGTACTTTGTGCCGGGTGAGTAAATTGCATAATTTTTTGGGCTACTGTGCCCCGATTTAAGAGTAGCTGTACCGGCTAATGGCCTCGCTTGTCTCCTTGTTGCAATAACACTTTGGATTCCCCGCCCCCGCCTCCTCCTGGGGACGGCATTGCTTGGCGCACATGTGATTTGCAATTAAATGTTCATTAAACGCGACATCAACGACGGTACAGAGATTGTTTCCCAGCAATTAATGTTGGCCTGACTGAAGGATCGCGGCACTGATGATGACATCCAGCGGTGCCTCAGTTTCTGCTTCGTACTCCTACGGTTAGGGATTGTTTTGTGGTCTCGCGAGAGTCGGTAGGGAAAGGCCAGGAATGTGCTGTGTAATTTACAGCCCTCGAATGGCGGTGGTCTCTGTTTATTTACGATCCTCGAATTGTGACATTTATTTGGTTGGCCCATTGTGTGCTCTTCGTTCTTGTAAAGGGGACTGGAACTGTAGCACGATGTAGACCTTACGGCCACCTTTGATCAGCCTCTCTTTATGGTTATTTAATAAATATTCTCTCTATTCTTCTCTTTCTGTTGCTAATGTGTGCACAAGTGTTTATTTGTTACCTAACACCCCGCTGACCACTGACCCTGGCCCTCCCTCGGGGCCCCTATCGGCGTTGACCACCATCGTTGACACACGCTTGAGCTGATCTTGTCTAAGCTGAACAACTATTTAAGCGGCCTTCTCTGTTCTGTCCCGTTCAGGCATACATACAGGTATTGGAGGCATCGGGTTACCTTGTCATCTCGGGGGGAACCTCCCCATCTCCCAGTCTGCTCTGTTATTCGATCGCTTTGAACGTGTCCTAACTGATGAGCCAACAAAACAATCCGTTATGCCCCGATCTGGGGATAGCTTAAGTTTGCACATTTCGCCAGTCTGTCTGCTGTGAGTTCTGCAGAGTCGATGAACCCCTTTTTTAAGATTTAATTTCTGAGAAATGTATAACCAAGTTTGCTTGAAGGAAGGAAGTGAAAACAAAGGTCTAGCTTTGAGGGACAAGGTTTTAAATTCTGATTTATGTTTGGCGTTAAACAGTTTTTGTATTATTGGTGCTCAGTGCAACAACTTCATTCACTTTTGTTTGATTAACCAAACCGGTGAAATTAGACAGACATTTCCATTATAATTCTTTAAGCTTTCCCGAAACACATATTATTATTGATGATCTTTTTGCTTTTCGCACAACAAAACGTTGTCTAATCATCTAGAAAACTGCTTTCTTATCGGGATAACCAAAGAAACCAACGCTCTTGAGCTCCATTAGCAGCTCGTGGTCATTGCCAATGGCCTTATAGATGGCCTTCTCCAACTCATCGTACTGGAAGTGGGGCGGAAAGGGCATGTCGTTGATGGCATTGAAGAGGGTGTTCCCTCGCTCGTTGCCAATGACCAGAGTGCGACCGCAGTGGGAGAATCTGAAAAGAAAGACGGAAAGATTATTAACCAAAGGAGGATTCCAAGTCCGGTAGCCTACTCACCGGGCCACAGTGTTGAATGAGGAGTCCATCTTGTGCTTCGACATCGGGCGCAGCAGGTTGCGCCGGAAGTCCCACATGCTGGCAGACTCTCGGTTCACCGCCACAATGATAGTGGAGTGTGTGGGACTCCACTTGGCCCAGTGCACCGGCGTCATTTCGTCTTGCAACTCGAGCAGTGGCCGTGTGATGCCATCGATCCAAACACGTACAAACCTAAGGGAGAGTGGTTACCTAATGGAAGACTTTCCTACTAATAGATCTCGATATCTACCAGTCGTTGCCGCAGGTGAGGAATAGCTTGGGCGACCACGGCGAGAACTCCATCACGGTGACGCCGCCGTCATGGCACCGCAGAACCTCCAGGTACTGGTGCTGATAGTTGATCGAGCATTTGTGGATGCAGCCCTCGTCAGTGAGCACATAGTAGATGTCTTTGTGCAGTGGATGTGTGGTGATGCTCAGGCCCTGTGGATGTCGGTTCGACTCGCAGCGTATCCGTGAGTGGGGATGCACAAAGATACCCTCAGGATGGCCTTCGACACGCTCCAGGACCATTTGGGTGAAGCCCAGCAGGAAAGGGCTCTTAATAATGCGGAAACGGGTCACCGAACCGTCTTGCGACAGACTGAGAAAAGGATCAATGTCCGCATCCTCGTCGTTCTCATTGTCATCAACCTGTTTGATCCAGCGAATGGCCACCACCGGAGCGCAGCCGGGCGAGGTGGCGCGCTGAGAGACGGCCACGGGCGTATCCTGTAGGCTACTCACATCACGTACCTCTACGCTTCCGTCGTACAACCCGATGGCCAGCAGGCTGGGCAGGAAGGGCGAGAAGCTGATGGCCGTCACCGGGACATTGTAGTAGTATGCGCGCTCCGGTTCGCTCGCGTTCTTGATGCTCCACAGGAATACGCTGCCCGAGGTGGGCACGTACTGTGAGGAGAAGGAGTACAGGCCGTAGCCCACGGCCAGAATATCGCCGTTGCTGCGACAGAAGTCTATGTCGCTGACGGCTTTACGCTCGGCCTTGCTGGGCTCCGGGACCAGACGGAAGAGCAGGCTCATCGAGTAAACATACTCGGCCTCCGTATTGGTACGGTCGACTTGGTCGAAGTTGCGGAAGCGCCGCATACCCTCCTCATTCGTATTGCTCGATAGCGTTCGACCCACGTACATGATGGCGTTGCGGAACTCTGGGCTCTTAAGCAGTCGGTCCGTCTGGGCCTTGATCTTGTCCTTTTCGGCCATGGCTTCTTCGTACTCGAATCCCTCCGCTGCGACCACATCGTCTGTCAGCGCCAGTGGCGGCGGATCCTTCAGCGAGCCCACTTGGATGACAGCTATCTCTCTTGAAACGTTGTTCAGCGTGTCGTACATCTCAAAGTTGGACACGTACGAGCTGACGGTGGCACTGGTCAGCAAGATTGTGTTAACTGCCCGCGACACAAACAGAATCGTGTCCGTCTGGGCATCGTTGTCGGAGCGGCGCCGGATCTTTCCCTTGCCGAGCGTGAGATAGTCATAGGTTCGGTTGTCCCGCTCCGTCTCCTCGCCCTCGGGCGTCCCCTTGGCCACCGTCGTTTGCGACTGGGTGTGCAGCTCAAAGAACGAGGACTTGCGCAGAGTGATCTTTACGAAGGACTTTTTGTAGGGCTTCGGCTCGTGGGTGGTGCAAGGCAATTCCACAGAGTGGTAGGGGTCAAAGTTGATTGTCTCGTACATAATCTTGGGAAATAATGGCTTAATTGGGAAACGGAGTGAAGATATCCTAGAGGGCTCACCCCGTTCATAATGTCATCGATGGACTGTTTATTGCCACCAATTCCTGTCTTTGTACTGGAACGCGTGCGAGATCGCATGGTGCTCCTGGAAAGCATTGTGTTGAAGTTAGTCATTTGGTGGAGAACGTTAAGATTGAATTTCATAAACTGCTCCACTATTGCGTCGTTAATTATCGGCTTGGGCGTCATGTCCACCTGCTCGCCGTCCACCTCCTCAATCACCTGTGGCAGCAGGCAATCGTAGACATTGATTAAATCTCTGGACCCGGGGTCCTTACCTTAATCTGTGCTCGGTACTCCACATCGTTGAGCGTCTCCACATTGTAGTAGTGGACGGCGTCCTTCTTCTTTGAAGTTCTTGCATCATCGGAAAAGAGTTGGTTGACTTGCACCGACTTCTTTTTGTCGGTTTCTATGTTGCTCTGTTGTCGGTCGGCATCAACACTCCTCTTGAAAGAGGAGCCAGTATTTCGGCTGGGGATCGTGGACATGTCGAATGCGATTTTAACAAGGTTTCAAAGGATTTTGACCATAGAACGGGGAAGTTAAGAGAGTCTTTTATTTATTTATTTCTATTTTTAAAATGTCTGAATTTCCATCCAGAAAAGCAATAATTTCGTGGATGGCTGAGGTGTAGTTTTATGAATGGTTTCTGGATATTATAGTGTTTACCTCATAAGAGTGAGTAATTCATTTGCTTTGCATAGAAGCACTGGACTTTTTTGATTACGGGAAATTATTATAAAATTAGTTGTTGCTGAATGCATTATACATATGTATTAAGAAACAGTTATTATTTTCAAGAGCAATTACCTAGAACAATTGTTTGTTTAAACGCAAACACTGTAAATGAAAGAACTAATTGGGGAAACATATTCGCCAGGATCCCCAGCAGGCGCCATCATTCCAATCCATTTGCCAAGTGAAGGCGCGAAGAGCATTAATAATTTTTAATTAAATCCGGGCAGCTCTTCCGCCATCCCGTGTGCTCCTCCTTATCAGGAGAAGCACGTGCCCCTGGCCCTGGCGGTAGCTCCGGGTCCTGCTACGTCTCTCCACTGTCGTTCTCTCTCTCTCTCTATCTCTCCCTGCTGCGTCTGCTCTCGCCAGATAAAAGCGAGATAAAGTTAACACTTGGGCGAAGAGGATGCGAAGGAGCAAACCACCCCCTGAAGGACGGCACCCGGCCGCAGGTTGGAGTTGCAAGTGCGAATCAGTTACAGTTGAACCCGCCAGCCGCCCAGCCGCCAGTCGCCATCGAAGCTCGTTCTTTCGCGTCCGTTCACTCTTGCTTGTTGGGTGTTGTTTTGGTTGAGTTTAGATGCGTGTTTTACTGCCCGTCCAGACATGAGATAAATTGCAACATCAGCAGCAGTAGGAGCAGCAGCAGCAGGCCTAATTATGGAGCCATCAATGGAGTGCCAAACAAGTGAAAACCGAGTACCAGAAAACTCAATTAGGAGCACTGTCAGCAAAGCCCAGGCACAGATACCACCGGCAGCCTCTGGTAAGGCGCTGCCCAAACCGCAAATCAAAAAGCCTTTGGTCATGCAGCAGCCAATGCAGTCGCAAGAGCAACAGCAGCAGCAGCAGCAACAGCCGACGCAGTACGTCATAAATTCAGTGGCCATGCACGCCAAGGCAACCACGGCGGGCGTCATCACGGGCGGCACTCTGCACCGGGTGAAAAGTGCGCAGGTAAGTGCACACACAAGTCCAGGCTAACGTGACGCTAATTGGAAGGTTAACTCCAGTCGACATGGAATGGATAATGGATATGGATGGCCGTCGTTGCGCCCATTGACTGTTATGTGAGGTGGACTTGAGGGGGTTGTCGTGGGAAATTGTGGGTTGAATTGAGTATCCTGGTTAAAAATCACACGTTTTGTGAAATTTCAAAGGGATCTCTAGACTTTTGTGATATAAAAAGCCTATATTTTGCGGCGATTTTCTGTTTTTTATTGTCTATAGATGGGATTTTTTTATCTGAGCTTATTAACAGTAATCTGTTGGACGTTTTTTACACTCTACTGATTGTGTTTACCAAGAAATACATTTATTTCCCGTACATTTTCGCATTTATCTGCAAAAGACTGTCTTAATCTTAATATATTTTTTATTGTTTCTGTGTGAAGTAACTGCTGTTCTTTTGATACACTGATCAGAATGTTGCCTCCGATGATTACCAATTATCTTTCTAAAGAAGAGGTTATGACATGTTTCCCCAGCTAAAAGTTAAGAAGAAGTGATTTCCGTTCTATCTCCTAGATAGGACTTTCTTTTATAACTCTCACTTCTACCCTCTGCCCAAACCTGCCCTAGCATCTTTTTGCAAACTCATTGAACCAACCTCGTTATGTGGTCAGATACAGATACTGATGCGAGAGGTTGATACAATTTAGTTGCAGATACACACCGCTATTGTTGGCTACGCAGAGTGCGTAGTAGCATAAGTGCGACCACTGTTTCACCGGCTAACGAACCGAGTCAACCCGAGCCGAGCCGCGCCGGCTTCTGTCCGCTGTCTGCGGGGTACCGTCCAGTCCAGGTGGAGGCTGTGCCTCCCGAGGAGGAGGCCGCATGCGTGAAGAGAGGACGTGGACGCGGACGCGCGCCCTCTGCCACGTTATGTAAACACCGCCAAGAGGGAGTGTCGGTCGAGTCGTGACGTGAGCAAAAGTCAGGATCTGACTCCCGACCAGCAACTGGCAACTGGAAGCTGGCAACCGCTACCTACGGCTGCTGACTGCCTGATTCCCGTGGATAATCGAGGGGCGTCCGGCGCAGCGCGGAGCTACGCGGTGGTGGCTTCTGTACGAGTCACGTCATTCATCAGATGCTCGGTGATGCGAAACATAATTTGCATGGGTCAGGAGGAGTGGGTTGTGTGGGAGTAGAAATGCTGCCACTGGGGTGGTGCAAGAGGTGGTTCCAACTATCTGAAGTTGATGAAGTGGAGCTGAGCCGGGGCCCTCTGGACTGTATAATGTATCGGCCACTCGAGGAAGACGAAGAGGAGCTACCTCTTGACTTATCGAAAATGCCAAGACTCCGTTTAACTTTGCCTGGGAGAGTCTTGTCCTGACTTATCCCGCATCTTTACAAGGGTGGCTGCTCGCTTTCAATTTTGTTTTTTATTCTTTGGCCTCGATTTTTCAATGTCCTTGCCTCTGAACTTGCCCGCAATTCGACTTCGCACGGGTGGTTGTTCCACCACCCACCCGGGACACCCCATGGCCGCTCCACACCTCCCGGTCCCACGTTGTTTGTCAGCGCTCTCTGCTGAATTTATCTGCGAGAACTGGCAGCTCTCGCTCTCTCACTTCAGTTATCCTTAGGTTGTCCTTCTGGCTTCCGCCGTTTGTTTTGCTCAACAGCATCTCGTATCTCGAGGGGTTAATCAACCTTTCCGGAGCGGCCAAAAGATGTGCGCAATTTAAGTTTGTTGTCCTGCGAAGAAAGAGGGACGAAGGATGAAAAGGCAAAGGCTATTTATGATTCGAGACTCTTGAGCGTAGGGAGATAAGCTCGGAGCAAGGAACTTTACAATAGGTTTGTTATTGTTGGCTTGTGTTTATGCTTTATCCATATCACTACAACTTAAATATTTGCCTGACTGTAGCCTTTTCCTAAAAGGTATTCTTTTATAAAATACTTTGAAAAAGTTTACTTACTTTGAACGCGAATTTAAATTAATGACCTTTTGGCTTAGTTCTGTGTTTGTTAAGCTTTGATTTTTAGACAAAATTTTCATGTAAAAATATTGATAAATATCGACTAAAAAATGGTATTTTAATATTAGTCAGAAGCGTAAAACACACTGAAGCAGTCATTTCCGACCCCATAAATCATATATATTCTTGATCAGCATCAACAGGAGAATCTTTCTAGCCATCTTCGAGGCAAACAATTTTTTTTTCGATTTTTGAATAATTTTATAAGGTGAAAATTGTCAAAAAATGGCATAAAATTGTATTTTTTTTTAGATTGTAAATGAAGTATGCAGATTTATTAACCTGGCAAAAACTAACACAGCACCGCTGTCCGAATTTAAATTAATGCTTTTTTGGCTGAGGTACGAGTTTTTCAAGATTTGATTTTTAGGAAAAATGTTCATATAAAAATATTGGTAAATATCGACTAAAAAATGGTATTTCAATTTTAGTCAGAAGCGTAAAACACACTGAAGCAGTCGTTTCCGACCCCATAAATCATATATATTCTTGATCAGCATCAACAGGCGAATCTTCCTAGCCATCTTTGAGGCAAACAAATTTTTTTCGATTTTTGCAAAATTTTATAAGGGGTTACATCGTTAAAATTGCCAAAAATTGGCAGAAAACCGTATTTTTTAAGATGGTAAATGGAGTATGCAGATTTATTAACGTGGCAAAAACTAACACAGGACCGCTGTCCGAATTTAAATTAATGCCTTTTTGGCTGAGCTACGAGATTTGTAAGATTTGGTTTTAGGACAAATTTTCATATAAAAATATTGGTAAATATCTACTAAAAAATGGTATTACAATTTAGTCCGAAGCGAAAAACGCAGTGAAGAAGTCATTTCCGACCCCATAAATCATATATATTCTTGATCAGGATCAACAGGCGAATCTTCCTAGCCATCTTCGAGGCAAACAAATTTTTTTCGATTTTTGCAAAATTTTATAAGGGGTTACATCGTTAAAATTGCCAAAAATTGGCAGAAAACCGTATTTTTTAAGATGGTAAATGGAGTATGCAGATTTATTAACGTGGCAAAAACTAACACAGGACCGCTGTCCGAATTTAAATTAATGCCTTTTTGGCTGAGCTACGAGATTTGTAATCTTCCTAATCTTCCTAGCCATCTTCGAGGCAAACAAATTTTTTTCGATTTTTGCAAAATTTTATAAGGGGTTACATCGTTAAAATTGCCAAAAATTGGCAGAAAACCGTATTTTTTAAGATGGTAAATGGAGTATGCAGATTTATTAACGTGGCAAAAACTAACACAGGACCGCTGTCCGAATTTAAATTAATGCCTTTTTGGCTGAGCTACGAGATTTGTAAGATTTGGTTTTAGGACAAATTTTCATATAAAAATATTGGTAAATATCTACTAAAAAATGGTATTACAATTTAGTCCGAAGCGAAAAACGCAGTGAAGCAGTCATTTCCGATCCCATAAATCATATATATTCTTGATCAGCATCAACAGGCGAATCTTCCTAGCCATCTTCGAGGCAAACAAATTTTTTTCGATTTTTGCTAAATTTTATAAGGAGTTACATCATTAAAATTGTCAAAAATTGATCAAATTTAAAAATTTTTAAATATGTTTACTTTGTATGCAAATTTATAACCCTTATAAAAACTAGTATATAACAGCTTTCCGAATTAAAATTAATGCTTTTTTCACTGCGTTATGGTGGATTTTCCATGCAAGTTTGTAGAAATTTCGGTTTCCCGAAGTTAGCTTCCTTTTTGTTATCCAAACAATTTAAATTTTCGATCTGCACGTTTTATTGTTACAACTATGTCTGTTCGTTAGAGGATTGTGTACCATCGAGGATTTTGTGAGTGGCGAGTGGAGCTTTGGGTGATTTATGAATTTATTCCAATGCCAATTGGCGCTGCAAGCCAAAAATGCTTTTAGCTCCGACTAGGAGTGCCCTATCCGGCG